CGACCAGCACCACCTCCTCCGCTACCTCCACCACCGCTGCCGCTGCCTCCACCTCCTCCGCCACCGCCGCCACGACCTCCACCGCCGCCACTGACGCCCCCACTCCCGGTACCACCCCCACCACCACCTCCACCTCCTCCGCCGCCTCCACCTCCTCCATTGCTTCCCCCGCCGCCCCCTCCACCACCCTTGCTCCCCTTGCCCTTGCTGGTGCAGCGTCTCCCACTAGAGGCAGACGCAGCGCCGACCTCCTCAGTGCCAACGAGGTCGACAGCAGCAGCAAAAGCAACAGAGGGGAGAAGGGGGACAGGGGAACACCCCTCAAAGAAGGGGGTGCGACGGTCGCCGCGAGAAGCACCAACAGCTAAGATACTCTTCTCAGCTGCAGCAAGGCGCTCCTCTAGCAGGTCGACAGTCAGCTCGGTGGGGCAAAGGGAGAGAAAGTGGTCCCTGACTGAAGAGAGAGAGTCAGGGAGGCGGGTGACTAGGTAGTACAGGGTGATGTACATGGGGGGGGGGGTTCTTGGCACAGAACTCAGTGGGAAGGGCAGCGCGGTGGCGGGCGTCACTAGTGCGAAGGTGAGCAACTAGGTCAGCAACAGTAGCAAAGGCAGCAAGGTCAGGGAAAAGGTACGGTAGCATGAGGCGGCTGAGGGCAGCAGTGGCAGGGGAGGAGCAGCGTGCAACTACAGCGTCGTACAAAGACTGAGAAGTCTTGTACTGGCCAAAGTGCGCGCGCTCAGCAGGCGGGAGGTGACTACGAACAACAAGACGAGCAACAGCATCACGAGTGGTCCACTGCGAGCGAACAGTACTGTCTGCAGTGGCAGCAGGAGCAGTGGAAACACCGGACGTGTGATCGAAGAGGGACACCCCATCCCTAGAATCACACTGAAGAAAGAGCTGTAGGTCGTCAACCCACACGTCAAAATCAACTGCACGTCCCTCAGCATCAAAGGTGAGAACGGTAGGACTAGCCATAGCAGCAGTAGGAGCAGTAGCAGCAGTAGCAGCAGTAGCAGCAATAGCAGCAGTGCAAGGCAGTGCTGCTCAGTAGGGCAGTGCGGTTCGGTGGGGGCGGCGCGGCTCTGCTGAGCGGCGCGGCTCGGCTGGGCGGCGCGGCTCGGCTGGGCGACGCGGCTCGGCTGGGGGGGCGCGGCTCGGCCGGGCGGCGCGGCTCGACGGGGCGGCTCGGGTGCTTATCAGGAGCGGGTGCGGGGCCGGGCCTTGACAGCAGGGGCCGTAGCAGCAGGTGTCGCGCCATCAGGGGAGGGGCCGCGACTGCAGGTGCCGCGTCAGCAGGGGCCACTTCAGCAGGGGAGAGGCCGCAGGCAGGGGCGATGTCGCGAGCAGGGGCGACGCCGCGAGCAACGGCGACGCCGCGAGCAAGGGCGACGCCGTGGGCAGGGGCGACGCCGCGGGCTGGGGCGACGCCGTGGGCTGGGGCGACGCCGCGGGCAGGGGCGACGCCGCTAGCAGGGGCGACGCCGCGTAGGGGCCACTGAGGGGCCGCGAAGGGGCCAAAAAGGGGCCGTTAAGGGGCCGCGAAGGGGCCAATAAGGGGCCGCGAAGGGGCCGTAGGGGGCCACAACGGGGCCGTTAGGGGGCCGCGAAAGGGCCGTGAAGGGGCCGATAAGGGGCCGATAGGGGGCCACGAAGGGGCCGCTAAGGGGGGGCCGTGAAGGGGCCGCGAAGGGGCCGCTAGGGGGGCCGCGAAGGGGCGGATAAGGGGCCGCGAAGGGGTCGTAGGGGGCCGCGAAGGGGCCGTTAGGGGGCCGCGAAGGGGCCGCTAAGGGGCCGCGAAGGAGCCGCTAAGGGGCCGCGTAGGGGCCGCGAAGGCGTAGGTCAGGGCAGTGCGCGAAGCGCGCTTCGGGCGGGTAAAAAAAAAAAAAAAAAAAAACGTGGTGGGCCCTTAGGAAGAAACAGTCCCACTAGGGAACCTGCTCTATACCATGTGAGAATTTAACGAGAAGAATAATGAAACTAGAAAACGAGATGGGTACAAGTAGGAAACACAAAGTGTTGTACCCTCTAAGAACTACCCCACTACAGCCTAAACAGACTATAGCATATTTAAGTTTGACACAACACTTCAAAATTTTCACTACAAAGGCATGCGATTTTGGGAACTGAATATATGTTTGTTCGTCCTCATACATATGTTTCGTTTTCATCTGATTTTACAGGCTTGGTAAAATATTTCGCCTGAATTTCCAGACTACCCATAGATTTTCGTCTGACGCTCAGACAAAGGAAAAAAATCCAGTCTGATTTTCAGACTGAGTTTTTTACTAGCAACGTCCCTGCTCCCGCCACTGTTCACGACGCAACCCAACCCCACGGTTCGGTTGGTAACCCGCGCTCCGGACCTCCGCCTCGACATATCCCAACCTCGGCGCTAGGCCCGTAGCGCACGCCAAATCCTCGCGTTACCGTCACCACTCTACTTCGCTATATATTCTTCGCGCATGCCTTCACTCATTGTATTGTTTTGTTTAGATAGTGCAATTATCGCTCACTCGCTCAATTGCACTCGTAACATAGTTACAGACCTTCCCATTTTTAATCCCCAACCTATGTCGCGTGGAAAACCGCGAACGGTTTCTGCCATTCCGCCGTTTTCGTTTGCTTCTGGGTTGGTTGCCATAGCGAAATTCTGGAAGCTGCTGGGTTTGAGTGGGTTGCGTTTACATTCACGTCAAAGTGCCATAGTTCATTTTTGTTTAGCGGTACCGGAACTGCTACTAAAACTGGCTGAGATGAATGACTTCCAAGCGAGAAGTTTCACAACTGGAAGTAAGTGAACAGACCCGCACGTACCATGCTGCATCACACAGATCCAACAATGGAATGGGGGACTCTCCAGACCGCCGAAACACAGCCTAATTAGGGAGATCCTTCCACTAAAACCAGGATAGAGTTGGTGGCGTGAGAGGATTGTTACACGCCGAGCGGCCACAACGGAAACGACAGCCATGGTTTGTAAATTGGTTTGGAAGAAACGAGTAACGGTGGCAGCCATGGGAGGGAGCGAGCGAGCAAACCGAAAATCAGTCCTTTCTCCCTTCCCTTCACATCACATCCACTTCAACCACTAGCACAATCTACCGGCAAGAACGTCAACCAAATCACTCACCCTGCACGCTCGTCTCTCGTTCAGTTTGCTCCTCGTATCCGTTTTTCGCCTTACAGATAGGAAAGTAACGCCACGCCACTCATTCTGACGAATTTGATAGAATTGTCGAAGCGCTTCTGTGTCGCCTTCAAGGAGCTGCGTCGCGTCGCGTTCCGCCCTGTGGTCTGTCACTTGAAGCGTAGTAGCGGACTGCACGGTACATCGCGTAGTTACGTCGCTCACGCGGAACAAATAGCTGATTGCTCACACGTGACGCTTCGTTTGTTTAGAGCAGTTCAGATTACTTCATTCCGTAGCGTTGTTACGGGGTGCTCTCATGCGGTGCGCTTACGCTGCTTTCCCCCGTAGCTCCAATGCGCGCGTCCCTTCTCCCCTCGGTGGGAATGATTTTGCAGCTAACGCACATTCGCTAACGCGCATTCGCTAATGCGCATTCGCTAACGCGCATTTGCCAATGACGTATGTAGTAACGGGCGTTTGTTAGTGACGCATTCTCGTACCGCACACAAACACGACAGCCCCAGACATATTAGCTCGAATTCCCGAGAGTGCTCTATTTATATGCTTCGCGGAACGAATTCAACCGATTTCCCGACAGTCTAACCACCCCCACTAAGTCGACCTATTAATCACCACCCCGGCTCGGTCAACTTGGTCGGGACACAAGGGGTAGTTAATTTAACGAAGCTCGCTTCCAACGGACTTGCATTAGGCGAAGCTCGCATAATGTTTTCGCCAGCGTCGTTGCCGCTGTCGCGTTCGTGGTAAACCAGTTCCGAACAAGTAGCGAGTACGTAGCCACCGCCGTCGTTGCCGTCGTCGCCGTCGTCGTCGCCGTCGTCGTAGCCGTCGTCGGCCGTCGTTAACATTCCAGGCTTCGGCGTCGCCTGCACGCCACGCCTTTGACCGAGCGAATACCCTCATTTCGGCAATACTAAGCGGCGGGAAGACGGCAGAGTACATACAAAGCCGGAAACAGTATCCGCGTTCACATTAGTTGCTCTTTGTATTTAAATCAAGAATCCGCAGAAATTTAAGCAGCAGATAGCCACGCGGCGGCCATGGGGAACGGGGAATCATCAACTTTCCGCCAATGTGCTCGGCGCGCATCTCTCCTTTCACACCGCCACGTGTCACCCGCCTCCCTGATTCCCTCCCACATCCCCTTCCTTCCACTCCTCCTCCTCCTCTCCCTCCTCCCGCCGTCGTCGCTCATCAACCTGGCAGCAGCAGCGCCAGCGGCGGGTACGTGTGAGGGTAGGATAGGTGTGTGTGTGTGTGTGTGTGTGTGTGTGTGTGTGTGTGTGTGTGTGTGTGGGTGGTGTGTGTGTGTGGTAGAGGTGTGTGTGTGTGTGGGTGGTGTGTGTGTGTGGTAGAGGTGTGTGTGTGTGGGAGAGGTGTGCGTGGAAGAGGGGCGTGTGTGGGGGATTTTTTTTGTGGGGGAGGTGTGTATGTGTGTGTGCGCGCAAGCGCACGTGCGTATGTGTTATAGTTTTGAAACGTCTCAAAACTTGTTTGCTCACACACACGCTCACGTGCTGTGGGTTGAAATTCGAGACCTTTTCTCTCTCCCCCCCTGCCCCACCATACAGCAACGGGTTGTCCCCTAAGCACCTCCGCCCTCTTCGTGCATTCCAAGGGTGTCTGCTTGTTCTTTATGTCGACCCATAATTCACCTCCTCCTTCCTCCTACCTCCCCCTCCCCTCCCCGTCCCTCCCCTCCATCCCCCATCTGCACTACACCGCAACGGGCTGTTCCCTAAGCATGTCCGCCCTCTTTGTGCATTTCAAGGGCACATTCTCGAATCTTAACCATTCCAGAAATCCCCTCCCCCCCCCTCGTCTCTACCCCACCACACCGCAGCAGGCTGTTCCCTGAGCACGTCCGCCCTCTTTGTCCATCCCAAGGGCACCCTCTCCGCCTGCTGCGGCTCCCAGGACAGCCCCTGCGGTATGTGACACGTGGCAAGTCAGTCAGACACGTGGCAAGTCAATTAGACAAGTGGCAATTCCGTTAAACGCGTGTGGGTATGTCTGCATGTGTGCAGTACACCCAGATGCCCTCTACCCCATGCATGTGTGCAGTACACCCAGATGCCCTCTACCCCATGCATGTGGTATGCCTAAGTAAAGGGCAACCAACCTTGCTGAATATTCTCCCGTTATTTCCCCTCTTGTGCTGCTGTAACTCCATTTCTGTTCCCCCCTCCTCGTTCTTTCCATTTGGTCACTATATTCCTTCTCTCCCTCTCCCTGCTCTTGTCTCCCTCACTCCCTCCATCTCGTCCTTCTCCCTCCATCTCGTCCTTCTCTTGAGGCGCCTCAAAAGTCGTCTCATGTCTCGCGGTTTTTATGTGGGGAGAATTATAATTGCATGGAAGTGTGCACGTAACCTTCAGCGGTTACTCGTAAGGGCGCGGTTACCAAAGTCACTCGCCAATGTTGTCGAAGAAGTTCCCGAAGGCTGACTTGGCACCCTGAATTTGTTTCATTGCCTAGTTGGCGAACCCCTTTCCTAGTTGGATTCTGGGTAGTTGGGTTTCTTGTACGTAGATCTCGAGGGTAGTCTAGCTACTTTAGCTGCTACCAGACTCTCTGTTTCTGAGTTCCGAATTGTGCTGTACTGATGAAGGCGTGATTGGGTTCGCCCATCCGCCGAAACTAGTTTACGCAAGGAGGCTTTTCGGAAGCTAAGGGTTTTTCAGATCTGCGTTTTTTTTTTTTCACCAGTTTTTACTGTTTGATTCCTTTGCTTAAGCGTCCTCTCTACTACTGCAGCCCTTCGAAACATGAGTCAGGGTGACCCTTGGGATACCGAATGGTTTCCAGAAAACGAAGAGGCCGGTACTGAAGGACGCGGCTCGTCGAAGAAAGCTCGTGGGCGCGGAGGATCGTTGCGTCCTGCTACCAGGAGTGCATCGAAGCACTCGCGGGACGGCAGTCGTATTCCGCCTTTGCAGTTGACCTACGAACCTGTTTCACGAAGCAAGCAACCTGAGATTCCTCCCCCCGGACCTTCTGGGAGTTGTCCAAGCATGGAGATGCCGGATCAGCCCGTTGACAATTCTCCGATTCCTGAAATTTTCAAGAGTTGGACTACTGCAGCGGTGAAAGATCTCCGGGACGGCTTCAAGGACCTTCTTAAAGCGAAAAGCAAGCTTAGAAAGATGAAGGAGTTGGATCGCCAAGGTTCTATTATGCACAGCATCAGGACTAAGGCGGTCGAATTCCAGACGAAGAACGACTCCGTCAAAGAGAAATCTGCAGCAGCTGTCGCGAAGATCCACTTGGAGAATCAAAAACGGCTGCAGGCGGAGTTTATCGCTTCTAAAGAACTGGAGGTTGAAGAAATTCAGGCAGCTGTCGGCACGCATGTCACGACTCTGGCGACGAAGATGGAAGAGCACATCAAGGGCCTCAGCTCCGACCCCAATCTGGTGGTTTCTGATACCGCCAAAGAACGCTATCGGCGACTGAAGGGGCGGTGCATCGAGAAGGCTCAATCTGACATCGCGGCGGCCAAGGATGAGATGACCATCCGAGAGATCGATCGACAGCATAAGCTGGCGGCTGAGGATTTGAAGGCTGCTGCAGCTGAGGAGGTGCAAGAGATGGAAATGGAGCCTGCGATTGAGGAGATTTTGGCTAAGCATGCCAAGAAGATTGAAGACAAGCTTCGGCGGGAGATTATGCAGAAGCTTGAGGCCAGTCTATCTAAGAAGCTGCAGAAGAATCTTCACATCGGAGAGCAGAACTCTTCGCAGGCCGCATCCGCTGACGAGAAGCAGACGGCTCAACCTGGGAGGCAGGACGGTGCACCTGGGAAGCCTAAGCCGAAGAAGAAGCGGGGTGGTAAGACTCCAAAGAAGCAGAATTCCAGCGCCGACAAAGAGCAGCAGGCGAAAGGCCCTACCACATCGAAGGCCAAGGGACCAAAAAACGGCGGAGGCGGCCCCGAAAAAGGGCCGCACAAGAAGTGGCCAGCCACGATTTAGCGCTCCGTTGGTTCGCAAAGCTAACGTTTCGGCAGGCGGCGTTACGAGTTCGCAACCGCGGAGTTCATAACCTCAGTGCCAAAGTCTTGTCCTTGGACGAGAAGAAAGCGTTGGGGCTTGGTCTGAAGTTTATCCCAACGCCCGCTGTTTCCCTTTCTATGGTCGAGTTAGATCAGCTTTGCCGACAGATTTCGCTACGTTTCTTCTTCAAGGATGCAGACCCGGCTAAGGACTATCGTTTTCGAGTGAGAAATCCGAGCTGGGCACCTGATCGGAGTGAGATTCCGGAGCAGGTTTTCAGAGATTCGTCCTCGGACTTATCTTTTCTGCTGAAGGCATCTAGGCCTCCTCGACACCGAAACATCTCGTTACGTGTTCGACAGGCCTTGCGTTCCATCGCCGCAGATCGTAGTGTGGTTATTAAACCGGCCGACAAGAACATCGGGATCACTGTGATGGATCGGGAACTTTATGTTCGTCTCTGTATGGACCATCTAGGCGACAGATCGACTTATACCCCGGTTCTCCACGATCCTACTGCCTTAGTCGTTCAGGGACTGCACGAACTGCGTCACGCATGGGGCCCTGCTTATCCCGACAGCCTTTGGAAGTATTTTCTAGACGAACCACCTGGAGGTTGGAAACCCGCAGCCTTTTACATCCTTCCTAAGCTACATAAGAAGCAGCTCGCTGGGCGTCCGATCGCCGCTTCGCATTCATGGGTTACTTCGAATGTCAGTAGATGGTTAGATGCGGAACTTAGGCCGTGGGTGCTACGACAGCATACTTACCTCCGAGACTCTCTTTCGCTACTCTTGTCGCTGGAGGAAACTTCATTTCCTAACGAGATTCTTCTAGCCACGTACAACGTCTCGTCGCTCTACCCCAGTATTCCTCTTAGGCGCGGACTCGATGCGGTGAGCAGCATTTTGCAACGAGGGAGTCACCACAGTCTTCAACCAGTCATGGCCCTACTAGAGTGGGTCATGATGAATTCTTACGTGGAGTTCGACGGCCACCTGTACCACCAGACGCAAGGGACCGCTATGGGAACTCCTGCAGCGGTCTGCTTTGCGATACTTTTCATGAGCCGCCTGGATGAACTTTTGAGGGAGAGATGGTCCGGAACGCAACCTCTACGCCATGTCAGATACATCGACGATGGCCTGATTCTTTGGCCTGGATCGAGGAGTGAGTTGGAGAAGTATCTGCAGACCTTCAACAAGCTTGACCCGAATATCAAACTGACGTGGCAGATTTCGGACAGCTCAGCTGATTTTCTTGATTTGGTCTTATTCAAGGGACCGAGATTTGCTGGGCAGGGTATCTTGGATCTGAAGACATTCCAGAAACCGCTTAACCGATACCTTTATCTCCCTTTTTCGTCTTTTCATCCCCGACACTGCAAGACTGGTTTCATTGCAGCTGAACTGAAGCGTTATCTTCTCCGCTCGACTGCTGCAGATACCTTTCTCGCCTCCAAGCGCGCTTTCTACCAGCGGCTACGAAGTCGGGGTTACCCCTCTGATTTCCTTCTACCCATCTTCAGGAGCATTTTCTTTCGACAACGACCTCTCCTTCTGGAGCAGACTGCTGCCCGCCACGCACACAAACTTGAAACTCCCCCCGAACGCGGCCCCCTAGTCTTGAAGACACTGTTCACACCTTTGACCGGACGTCTCAGGTTGGGGGTGCTTTTGAGGCGCCTCAAAAGTCGTCTCATGTCTCGCGGTTTTTATGTGGGGAGAATTATAATTGCATGGAAGTGTGCACGTAACCTTCAGCGGTTACTCGTAAGGGCGCGGTTACCAAAGTCACTCGCCAATGTTGTCGAAGAAGTTCCCGAAGGCTGACTTGGCACCCTGAATTTGTTTCATTGCCTAGTTGGTGAACCCCTTTCCTAGTTGGATTCTGGGTAGTTGGGTTTCTTGTACGTAGATCTCGAGGGTAGTCTAGCTACTTTAGCTGCTACCAGACTCTCTGTTTCTGAGTTCCGAATTGTGCTGTACTGATGAAGGCGTGATTGGGTTCGCCCATCCGCCGAAACTAGTTTACGCAAGGAGGCTTTTCGGAAGCTAAGGGTTTTTCAGATCTGCGTTTTTTTTTTTTTCACCAGTTTTTACTGTTTGATTCCTTTGCTTAAGCGTCCTCTCTACTACTGCAGCCCTTCGAAACATGAGTCAGGGTGATCCTTCTCCCTCCATCTCGTCCTTCTCAATCCATCTCGTCCTTCTCCCTCCATCTCGTCCTTCTCCCTCCATCTCGTCCTTCTCAATCCATCTCGTCCTTCTCCCTCCATCTCGTCCTTCTCCCTCCATCTCGTCCTTCTCCTCCTGCGCACCCCCTGGCAGGTTCACTGGAAGCAGCGTTAGCAAGGTTCGTCCCGTCACCCTTAGCCATTCCACCTTCCCGGGAGTTTTTTAGAAAAAAACATAGCTGGTTGATTTTGTGAAAAACACTCTGCAGGCTCACTGGTATCAGCACTAGCTAGGTTTCCCTTTCGGCCACTCCAATGGGGTGTTCAGAGGTCATTCCCTTGTTCGTTGAGTCAACTCAAAAGTCACTTCAGTGTTGTTTTCAAAGGCTGAATGCTGTGCTTTGTATTTTCATACCTTTGTAGAGGCGGATCCTCATTGGCTCTTGAAGCACGCCCCTTTCACCGCCACTCCAACTTCCCTCCCCCAACCCCGCTTCCCTCCTGTTTGCGCCCCTCTTCTTGCTGTAAGCAATGCCCTTCCTACTTTTGTGTCCTGTAAGTTTTCATGTCCTTCCTACTTTTGCCACTCGCCCCCACCTTCCCCCACCTCCTCCCCCCTCCCCTTCCTCCTTCCCTCCCTCCCTCCCTCCCTCCCTCCCTTCTTCCCTCTAAACTCTCACCTTTTACAGAGCATCTGACAACGCTACAGTCACACTTGCTTCAGGAACATACACCCGCACCGCTTCCCCTCCATCCGCCCCCATGCTCCTCCCTCCCCTCCTCGCCCTCACCATCCTCGGCCCGGCCCTCCCCTCCCCTCCTGCCGTTCTTGACTGTAATGGCGGCCCCTGCCTTGTTGCCTCGTGCCAAAGCATCCCTGCTGCTGGGAATGGGAGTGGGGGTAGCAACAGCAGCAGTGGCAGCGGTGGGAGGTGGTGTGGGCAGCAGCAGCCGGTGCTGGTGGTGAAGCATTTAAGTGTGCTCAATGGAGTCACAACGGGGAGTGGGGGCTGCCTGCTGTTGGATGGGTACCGTGCAGTGCTCAGGTGTGTATTGCGGTGCTGTGCGGTGTCGCTCAGGTGAGTTGCAGCAGGAGGAGGTGGTGTGGGCGACAGCAGCCGGTGCTGGTGGTGGCTCATCTGAGTGTGGCTAATGGCGTCACCACTGGGAGTGGGGGCTGCCTGCTGTTGGATGGGTACTGATCGGTGCTCTGGTGTGTATTGCGGTTCTGTGAGGTGCTTCGGTGATTGCTGTGCTTTGGGTAAGTGTCTCTCTTAGGTGAGAGCTGCTCTCTGAGCGCTGTGCTTAAGTATTGCTGTAAGCAGCTTGTAACAACATAGTTCATGGCAAGGCAAGGTCCTGAAACCCTTTCCTTACCTCTGCTCTCCTCTCCTCTCCCCTCCTGTTCTCTTCTCTCCTCCCCCGTCCTTGCTTCTCCTCCAATCCCACACAGCCACGTGTCTTTCTCTAACTGCACGTCAACAGGCCCTAGTGGTGGCGCTATAGCTGTTCTAGAGGCTGCCACAGCCGCTGCTACAGCCACAGCTACAGCTGCTGCTACAACTTTCGTTGCTACAGCTGTGACCATCAGCAGCAGCAGGGTGCGGGGCGGTGGCGTTGGCGGGGGATTGTACGTGGGGGCAGGGGCGAGAGTGTCTCTGAAAGGGGCGAATTTCGAAGGGTGCTACACGGAGAGGGAGGAGGGCGTGGCAGGGGGGTACGGCGGGTGCATTGCTTCCTTCTCTGCGTCCAATCTCACCATTGAAGACTCGAGCTTCACTGGGTGCAAGGTGAGGGGGTGAAGGGGGGCCAGTGGGAGGGCGCAGTTCCAGGGACAGTGGCTGGGGCAGTGAGGTCGGGGCGGGGGGGGGGGGGGGGGGCATGAACGTGGGGGAGGGGGCGAGAGTGGCTCTGAAAGGGGCGAGCTTTGAAGGGTGCTACACGGAGAGGGAGGAGGGCGTGGCAGGGGGGTACAGTGGGTGCATCGCTTCCTTCTCTGCTGCCAATCTGACGGTCGAAGACTCGATCTTCACTGGGTGTAAGGTGAGGGGTGGGTGAAGGGGGGGTGAGGGGGGGAGGAGGGCGTGGCAGGGGGGTACGGCGGGTGCATCGCTTCCTTCTCTGCTGCCAACCTGACCGTTCAAGACTCGAGCTTCACTGGCTGCAAGGTGAGGGGGGGGGTGAGGGGGGGTGAGGGAGGGGTGAAGGGGGGGTGAGGGGGGGGTGAGGGGGGGTTGAGAGGGGGGTGAGGGGGGGTTGAGAGGGGGGTGAGGGGGGGAGGAGGGCGTGGCAGGGGGGTACGGCGGGTGCATCGCTGTGTTCTTCCTTCTCGCCTGCCAACCAACATCAGCCGGTGCGGGTGGTGGCGCCATCACCATTCAAGACTCGAGCTTCACTGGCTGCAGGGTACGGAGGTGAGGGGAGGGGTGTGAGAGGAGGAGGGTGTTGGGTGATATTGAGCATTCAGTAGTGTATTGAGTTTTTTCGTCTTTTTGCCTTCCCCCTCTTCTCCTTCTTTCCCCTCATATCTCCCTCCGCTCCGCCCCAGTCGATGGCAGGGGGGGCAATCAACGAGTTCAACTCCTCAACCACCATCGCCAATACCACCTTCACTGCCTGCACAGCCGACCAGGGCGCCGACTTCTCAGTCTTCCCCTCGGGAGGCGCCATTCTCTTCAACACCTCCCTGCTCATGCACGTCCGGGACTCCTCCTTCCGCCGCTGCGTCTCGACTTTTACTGGCGGGGCGATCAGTGTGCAATCGGCCGTGGCGCCGCTGACAGTCATGGGGAGTGTGTTTGAGGGGAACCAGGCGTTCATGCAGGGGGGGTGCTTGGAGCTCATTATGCTGCCGGGGGTCACTCAGGTGGGTGTGAGTGTGTGTGTGTGTTTGGGTGTACCACCACCTCTCTTCAACACCTTCTTGTCAACACCTCTCATCCCCCACCCCTGCTCGCAATGGCAGAGCCCTAACCCTTGCTCCCACATGCTCCCACTCTTGTTTTGAGTCGACTCAAAACACGTCCCCTACCCCTGCTCGCAATGGCAGAGCCCTCGAGAAGGAAAAGGGTTAGGGCGCCCTAACCCCCTAACCCTTGGCCCCACATGCTCCCACTCCCCTTCTCCTTCTGCTCCCCTTCCCCCCTGCCCCCCCTACTCCTCCCCCCCCACTCCCCTCTCCTCCCATCGCTCCAGATTCTCGACTGTCAATTCATCAACAACGTTGTGACCAACGTGCCATCCTTCGCAGCAGCAGTTGTCTCCTACGGTGCAGCCCTCACAGTGCGCGCCTGCCTCTTCCACTCCAACGCCGCCGCGCCCACCCCTGCTCTGCCGTACAAGCCACAATCCCCACGTGCTCCCACTCCCCTTCTCCCCCCTCTCCCCATTCCACCTGCCCCCTTTCTCCCCCCACTCCCCCCCCCCCCCCTTCAACACCAGATTCTGGACTGTCAATTCATCAACAACGTTGTGACCAACGTGCCATCCTTCGCAGCAGCAGTGGTGTCCTACGGTGCAGCCCTCACAGTGCGCGCCTGCCTCTTCCACTCCAACGCCGCCTCGCCCATGCCTGCTGGCGACGGCAGCGCGTCAGCCACGTACCTGTCGCAGGGAGCAGCGTTGATGGTCTTTGCCTTCATGGACCCCTTATTCCCGATTACCATCGCTGATTCGACCTTCAGAAACAACTCGGTAAGTGGGTGGTGGGCTACTGGGTGGGTGGGTCTCTCCCCTCTCTCCCCTTCCATGCGTCCCACCTGTGTCACCGAGTCATCATTCCAACACGGTGGGGTCTCATGGTGAGTGAGACGTCTTGAGGGGCCACGGCAGCGCCTCCGCCACGTACCTGTCGCAGGGAGCGGCTCTCATGGTGTTTGCTTTCACGGACCCGCTCTTTCCCATCACCATCACCGACTCAGTTTTTAGAAAAAACTCGGTGGGTGGGTGGGAGGGTGGATGGGTTGATGGTGGGTGTGTGCGTGGGTGTGTCCCCTCCCCTCTCCCCTCCCCCGATCTCCATCAGCATCACCGGCTCGGCTCATTGTTTCAATAGCAACACATCACAGCACAGTCCACCCTCATCGTCCATGTGGCAATCCCAGCATCAGCACGTCACCTTCCTCCCCCCTCTTCTGTCTACATCGCCCCATCCTCACTTCAACAGGCCTGGCAGGGTGCTGCTGTGTGTGTATCTGGATGCAGGCACTGTCCTTCCTCCTCCAAACCTCTGCGTTCCTCTTTGCATTCTGCGTTCCTCTTTGCATTCTGCGTTCCTATTTGCATTCTGTGTTCCTTCCGTCATTCCCCCATCGCCCCATCACCCACCCCTGCGTTCCTCTTTGCATTCTGTGTTCCTTCCGTCCTTCCCCCATCGCCCCATCGCCCCATCACCCACCTCTGCGTTCCTCTTTGCATTCTGTGTTCCTTCCGTCCTTCCCCCATCACCCCATCGCCCCATCACCCACCTCTGCGTGCCTCACGCAACCCAACAGGCGGGGCAGGGGGCTGCAGTGTATCTGGACGCAGGCAATGTGACTGTGACGAATTGCTCCTTTATAGAGAACGGCGACCACGGCAATTCCAAGATCGGTGGAGCCAGTGAGTCACACTGCACCGCACCCCAACGCACCTCATCGCACTGCACTGCTCTGCTCTGCTCTGCTCACTGTGCCTCCCTCCTCTGTCCGTGCCTTGCACATGTCGCCGTCTCTTTGTCTCATACACATACAGTCATGCCCTCCCTCGCCAGTGCACTCTGTCAACTCCACTCATCCCCGCTCTCCCCACTCCCTGTTCTCCGCCCTACAACAGTGCTCTTTTGAGTCGACTCAGAAGTCACATGTCGCCGTCTCTTTGTCTCATACGCACACAGTCAGGTGTAGCGAGGTTGTTTTTGAGACGTCTCAAAAACAACCTCGCTACACGTCTCTTTGTCTCATACGCACACAGTCAGGCCCTCACCACCAGTGCACTCTGTCTGTCTGTCGCCTCCACTGGTGGAGTGTCAACTCATGCCCGCGCTCCTTGAAGAAAGTGTGTCGTGTGCCATTGTGGCGAGGTGACTTTTGAGTCGACTCAAAAGTCACAGTCAGGCCCTCACCTATGCACTCTGTCGTCTCCACTCCACTCGTGCCTGTGCTACCCACTCCCTGTTCTCCGCCCTACAACAGTGCTCTCGTGTTGACACGCCTCAAAACCACACTCCCTCTTGTCCCCTCTTCAACAGTGGTCTCTCGCGCGACCACCGCCCTCCCTCACCAACTGCACCTTCCAAGGCAACAGAGCGGCCAGCCAGGCGGGGGCGCTGCAATTCCTTTACAGCGACTCACAAATCCCCCACTTCTCCTCAATTCCCCCCTCACACCTCTCCCATCCTCCTACCCCCAACAGTGGTTTCCCGTGCCACCACCGCGCTCACCAACTGCACGTTCCACGGCAACAGAGCAGCCAGCCAGGCAGGGGCGCTGCACTTCCTTTGAGGCGCCCTACAAATCCCCCACATTTCCTCAGTTTTCCTCCTTGCTCCCGCACCCCTCACTCCCCACTCCTTTGCCCCTGACTTCCCCACCCCTCCCTCTCTCACCCCTCGCTCCCCCACCCCTATCATCCCGCTTCAACAGTGGTTTCCCGTGCCACCACCGCGCTCACCAACTGCACGTTCCACGGCAACAGGGCGGCCAGCCAGGCGGGGGCGCTGCACTTCATGCCGTACGGCCCGCTCACCATCACCAACTGCTCCTTCTCTAACAACTCCGTGTTACTCGCCCAGGGCGGCGCAATTAACGTCTACCCGGTATGACTGTACTGGGGTACTCTCTTTCGTTCCTCACATGTCTGCTCTGCCCTATCAAGGGTGCTCCAAACCCGCCTGTGCAACGTATTTCTTCCCCCATCTCCTCCCATCACCTGCCATCACCTGCCATCTCCTCCCATCTCCTGCCATGTCCCATCTACTCCGCTCTGCTCCTCTCCCTTCTTCCCCCCCTGGCAGGGCCTGTTACCGGTATACATATCAGGCAGCCGGTTTGAGGGCAACAAGGCAGGGCTATCCCGGGGAGGTGCTATCTACAGCGAGAGCACGGAAATGGTTTTTACAGACGTGGTCTTCCAGGGGAACGAGGCTGGTTTACAAGGCGGGGCAGTCACAGGTAGGGGCTGTAATGGCAGGTAGGAGGAGAGGATTGGTGGGAAAGGGGGGCCAATGGAGGTAACAGGGCGGGGCTATCCAGGTGTCATGGGCGCTCTCTTCCAGGGGAGTGAAGCCGGGCTGCAGGGGGGGCTGTCACAGGTAGGAATTGGGGTGCACAGGGGCAGGAGCGTGTGAGCATGTGCACCCATGCTATGCTCAGCGAGAGCACGGAGATGCGTTTTACCGACTTGCAGGAGCCAAGTCTTGAGACAGGAGCCAACTCTTGAGACAGGAGCCAACTCTTGAGACAGGAGCCAAGTCTTGAGACAGGAGCCAACTCTTGAGACAGGAGCCAAGTCTTGAGACAGGAGCCAACTCTTGAGACAGGAGCCAACTCTTGAGACAGGAGCCAACTCTTGAGACAGGAGCCACTGCCAACTCTTGAGACAGGAGCCAACTCTTGAGACAGGAGCCAACTCTTGAGACAGGAGCCAACTCTTGAGACAGGAGCCAACTCTTGAGACAGGAGCCAACTCTTGAGACAGGAGCCAACTCTTGAGACAGGAGCCAACTCTTGAGACAGGAGCCAACTCTTGAGACAGGAGCCAACTCTTGAGACAGGAGCCAACTCTTGAGACAGGAGCCAACTCTTGAGACAGGAGCCAACTCTTGAGACAGGAGCCAACTCTTGAGACAGGAGCCAACTCTTGAGACAGGAGCCAACTCTTGAGACAGGAGCCAACTCTTGAGACAGGAGCCAAGTCTTGAGACAGGAGCCAACTCTTGAGACAGGAGCCAAGTCTTGAGACAGGAGCCAACTCTTGAGACAGGAGCCAACTCTTGAGACAGGAGCCAACTCTTGAGACAGGAGCCAACTCTTGAGACAGGAGCCAACTCTTGAGACAGGAGCCAACTCTTGAGACAGGAGCCAACTCTTGAGACAGGAGCCAACTCTTGAGACAGGAGCCAACTCTTGAGACAGGAGCCAACTCTTGAGACAGGAGCCAACTCTTGAGACAGGAGCCAACTCTTGAGACAGGAGCCAACTCTTGAGACAGGAGCCAACTCTTGAGACAGGAGCCAACTCTTGAGACAGGAGCCAACTCTTGAGACAGGAGCCAACTCTTGAGACAGGAGCCAACTCTTGAGACAGGAGCCAACTCTTGAGACAGGAGCCAACTCTTGAGACAGGAGCCAACTCTTGAGACAGGAGCCAACTCTTGAGACAGGAGCCAACTCTTGAGACAGGAGCCAACTCTTGAGACAGGAGCCAACTCTTGAGACAGGAGCCAACTCTTGAGACAGGAGCCAACTCTTGAGACAGGAGCCAACTCTTGAGACAGGAGCCAACTCTTGAGACAGGAGCCAACTCTTGAGACAGGAGCCAACTCTTGAGACAGGAGCCAACTCTTGAGACAGGAGCCAACTCTTGAGACAGGAGCCAACTCTTGAGACAGGAGCCAACTCTTGAGACAGGAGCCAACTCTTGAGACAGGAGCCAACTCTTGAGACAGGAGCCAACTCTTGAGACAGGAGCCAACTCTTGAGACAGGAGCCAACTCTTGAGACAGGAGCCAACTCTTGAGACAGGAGCCAACTCTTGAGACAGGAGCCAAGTCTTGAGACAGGAGCCAACTCTTGAGACAGGAGCCAACTCTTGAGACAGGAGCCAACTCTTGAGACAGGAGCCAAGTCTTGAGACAGGAGCCAACTCTTGAGACAGGAGCCAACTCTTGAGACAGGAGCCAACTCTTGAGACAGGAGCCAAGTCTTGAGACAGGAGCCAACTCTTGAGACAGGAGCCAACTCTTGAGACAGGAGCCAACACTTGAGACAGGAGCCAACTCTTGAGACAGGAGCCAACTCTTGAGACAGGAGCCAACTCTTGAGACAGGAGCCAACTCTTGAGACAGGAGCCAACTCTTGAGACAGGAGCCAACTCTTGAGACAGGAGCCAACTCTTGAGACAGGAGCCAACTCTTGAGACAGGAGCCAACTCTTGAGACAGGAGCCAACTCTTGAGACAGGAGCCAACTCTTGAGACAGGAGCCAACTCTTGAGACAGGAGCCAACTCTTGAGACAGGAGCCAACTCTTGAGACAGGAGCCAGCTCTTGAGACAGGAGCCAACTCTTGAGACAGGAGCCAACTCTTGAGACAGGAGCCAACTCTTGAGACAGGAGCCAAGTCTTGAGACAGGAGCCAACTCTTGAGACAGGAGCCAACTCTTGAGACAGGAGCCAACTCTTGAGACAGGAGCCAAGTCTTGAGACAGGAGCCAACTCTTGAGACAGGAGCCAAGTCTTAAGACAGGAGCCAAGTCTTGAGACAGGAGCCAACTCTTGAGACAGGAGCCAACTCTTGAGACAGGAGCCAACTCTTGAGACAGGAGCCAACTCTTGAGACAGGAGCCAACTCTTGAGACAGGAGCCAACTCTTGAGACAGGAGCCAACTCTTGAGACAGGAGCCAACTCTTGAGACAGGAGCCAACTCTTGAGACAGGAGCCAACTCTTGAGACAGGAGCCAACTCTTGAGACAGGAGCCAACTCTTGAGACAGGAGCCAACTCTTGAGACAGGAGCCAACTCTTGAGACAGGAGCCAACTCTTGAGACAGGAGCCAACTCTTGAGACAGGAGCCAACTCTTGAGACAGGAGCCAACTCTTGAGACAGGAGCCAACTCTTGAGACAGGAGCCAAGTCTTGAGACAGGAGCCAAGTCTTGAGACAGGAGCCAACTCTTGAGACAGGAGCCAACTCTTGAGACAGGAGCCAACTCTTGAGACAGGAGCCAACTCTTGAGACAGGAGCCAACTCTTGAGACAGGAGCCAACTCTTGAGACAGGAGCCAACTCTTGAGACAGGAGCCAACTCTTGAGACAGGAGCCAACTCTTGAGACAGGAGCCAACTCTTGAGACAGGAGCCAACTCTTGAGACAGGAGCCAACTCTTGAGACAGGAGCCAACTCTTGAGACAGGAGCCAACTCTTGAGACAGGAGCCAACTCTTGAGACAGGAGCCAACTCTTGAGACAGGAGCCAACTCTTGAGACAGGAGCCAACTCTTGAGACAGGAGCCAACTCTTGAGACAGGAGCCAACTCTTGAGACAGGAGCCAACTCTTGAGACAGGAGCCAACTCTTGAGACAGGAGCCAACTCTTGAGACAGGAGCCAACTCTTGAGACAGGAGCCAACTCTTGAGACAGGAGCCAACTCTTGAGACAGGAGCCAACTCTTGAGACAGGAGCCAACTCTTGAGACAGGAGCCAAGTCTTGAGACAGGAGCCAACTCTTGAGACAGGAGCCAACTCTTGAGACAGGAGCCAACTCTTGAGACAGGAGCCAACTCTTGAGACAGGAGCCAACTCTTGAGACAGGAGCCAAGTCTTGAGACAGGAGCCAACTCTTGAGACAGGAGCCAAGTCTTGAGACAGGAGCCAACTCTTGAGACAGGAGCCAACTCTTGAGACAGGAGCCAACTCTTGAGACAGGAGCCAACTCTTGAGACAGGAGCCAACTCTTGAGACAGGAGCCAACTCTTGAGACAGGAGCCAACTCTTGAGACAGGAGCCAACTCTTGAGACAGGAGCCAACTCTTGAGACAGGAGCCAACTCTTGAGACAGGAGCCAACTCTTGAGACAGGAGCCAACTCTTGAGACAGGAGCCAACTCTTGAGACAGGAGCCAACTCTTGAGACAGGAGCCAACTCTTGAGACAGGAGCCAACTCTTGAGACAGGAGCCAACTCTTGAGACAGGAGCCAACTCTTGAGACAGGAGCCAACTCTTGAGACAGGAGCCAACTCTTGAGACAGGAGCCAACTCTTGAGACAGGAGCCAACTCTTGAGACAGGAGCCAACTCTTGAGACAGGAGCCAACTCTTGAGACAGGAGCCAACTCTTGAGACAGGAGCCAACTCTTGAGACAGGAGCCAACTCTTGAGACAGGAGCCAACTCTTGAGACAGGAGCCAACTCTTGAGACAGGAGCCAACTCTTGAGACAGGAGCCAACTCTTGAGACAGGAGCCAACTCTTGAGACAGGAGCCAAGCCAACTCTTGAGACAGGAGCCAACTCTTGAGACAGGAGCCAACTCTTGAGACAGGAGCCAACTCTTGAGACAGGAGCCAACTCTTGAGACAGGAGCCAACTCTTGAGACAGGAGCCAACGTCTTGAGACAGGAGCCAACTCTTGAGACAGGAGCCAACTCTTGAGACAGGAGCCAACTCTTGAGACAGGAGCCAAGTCTTGAGACAGGAGCCAACTCTTGAGACAGGAGCCAACTCTTGAGACAGGAGCCAACTCTTGAGACAGGAGCCAAGTCTTGAGACAGGAGCCAACTCTTGAGACAGGAGCCAACTCTTGAGACAGGAGCCAACTCTTGAGACAGGAGCCAAGTCTTGAGACAGGAGCCAACTCTTGAGACAGGAGCCAACTCTTGAGACAGGAGCCAACTCTTGAGACAGGAGCCAACTCTTGAGACAGGAGCCAACTCTTGAGACAGGAGCCAACTCTTGAGACAGGAGCCAACTCTTGAGACAGGAGCCAACTCTTGAGACAGGAGCCAACTCTTGAGACAGGAGCCAACTCTTGAGACAGGAGCCAACTCTTGAGACAGGAGCCAACTCTTGAGACAGGAGCCAACTCTTGAGACAGGAGCCAACTCTTGAGACAGGAGCCAACTCTTGAGACAGGAGCCAACTCTTGAGACAGGAGCCAACTCTTGAGACAGGAGCCAACTCTTGAGACAGGAGCCAACTCTTGAGACAGGAGCCAACTCTTGAGACAGGAGCCAACGTCTTGAGACAGGAGCCAACTCTTGAGACAGGAGCCAAGTCTTGAGACAGGAGCCAACTCTTGAGACAGGAGCCAAGTCTTGAGACAGGAGCCAACTCTTGAGACAGGAGCCAACTCTTGAGACAGGAGCCAACTCTTGAGACAGGAGCCAACTCTTGAGACAAGACAGGAGCCAACTCTTGAGACAGGAGCCAACTCTTGAGACAGGAGCCAACTCTTGAGACAGGAGCCAACTCTTGAGACAGGAGCCAACTCTTGAGACAGGAGCCAACTCTTGAGACAGGAGCCAACTCTTGAGACAGGAGCCAACTCTTGAGACAGGAGCCAACTCTTGAGACAGGAGCCAACTCTTGAGACAGGAGCCAAGTCTTGAGACAGGAGCCAACTCTTGAGACAGGAGCCAACTCTTGAGACAGGAGCCAACTCTTGAGACAGGAGCCAAGTCTTGAGACAGGAGCCAACTCTTGAGACAGGAGCCAACTCTTGAGACAGGAGCCAACTCTTGAGACAGGAGCCAACTCTTGAGACAGGAGCCAACTCTTGAGACAGGAGCCAACTCTTGAGACAGGAGCCAACTCTTGAGACAGGAGCCAACTCTTGAGACAGGAGCCAACTCTTGAGACAGGAGCCAACTCTTGAGACAGGAGCCAACTCTTGAGACAGGAGCCAACTCTTGAGACAGGAGCCAACTCTTGAGACAGGAGCCAACTCTTGAGACAGGAGCCAACTCTTGAGACAGGAGCCAACTCTTGAGACAGGAGCCAACTCTTGAGACAGGAGCCAACTCTTGAGACAGGAGCCAACTCTTGAGACAGGAGCCAACTCTTGAGACAGGAGCCAACTCTTGAGACAGGAGCCAACTCTTGAGACAGGAGCCAACTCTTGAGACAGGAGCCAACTCTTGAGACAGGAGCCAACTCTTGAGACAGGAGCCAACTCTTGAGACAGGAGCCAACTCTTGAGACAGGAGCCAACTCTTGAGACAGGAGCCAACTCTTGAGACAGGAGCCAACTCTTGAGACAGGAGCCAACTCTTGAGACAGGAGCCAACTCTTGAGACAGGAGCCAACTCTTGAGACAGGAGCCAACTCTTGAGACAGGAGCCAACTCTTGAGACAGGAGCCAACTCTTGAGACAGGAGCCAACTCTTGAGACAGGAGCCAACTCTTGAGACAGGAGCCAACTCTTGAGACAGGAGCCAACTCTTGAGACAGGAGCCAACTCTTGAGACAGGAGCCAACGTCTTGAGACAGGAGCCAACTCTTGAGACAGGAGCCAACTCTTGAGACAGGAGCCAACTCTTGAGACAGGAGCCAACTCTTGAGACAGGAGCCAACTCTTGAGACAGGAGCCAACTCTTGAGACAGGAGCCAACTCTTGAGACAGGAGCCAACTCTTGAGACAGGAGCCAACTCTTGAGACAGGAGCCAACTCTTGAGACAGGAGCCAACTCTTGAGACAGGAGCCAACTCTTGAGACAGGAGCCAACTCTTGAGACAGGAGCCAACTCTTGAGACAGGAGCCAACTCTTGAGACAGGAGCCAACTCTTGAGACAGGAGCCAACTCTTGAGACAGGAGCCAACTCTTGAGACAGGAGCCAACTCTTGAGACAGGAGCCAACTCTTGAGACAGGAGCCAACTCTTGAGACAGGAGCCAACTCTTGAGACAGGAGCCAACTCTTGAGACAGGAGCCAACTCTTGAGACAGGAGCCAACTCTTGAGACAGGAGCCAACTCTTGAGACAGGAGCTGCCGTCAATAGCATGGGTGCAGGAGCCCACATGTCAATAGCATGGGTGCAGGAGCCCACATGTCAATAGCATGGGTGCAGGAGCCCACATGTCAATAGCATGGGTGCAGGAGCCCACATGTCAATAGCATGGGTGCAGGAGCCCACATGTCAATAGCATGGGTGCAGGAGCCCACATGTCAATAGCATGGGTGCAGGAGCCCACATGTCAATAGCATGGGTGCAGGAGCCCACATGTCAATAGCATGGGTGCAGGAGCCTTGTAAGGGTTGGCCGTGCAACTGCAAAACACTTGGGCGAAAAGTGGTTTCTTTGGCGAGTTTCGATTTGACAAAACTTTGGCCCCAAATTTGTGAACCAATCAGACAGGCCCATTTTCATCGAGTGCAAAACACTTGGTCTACTTGAGACCCTGGCTTTAAAGAGCCAGTATGAGTCAAATCTTCGCTAGAGAATCGGAACATCTGGTAAACTAGTTTCGGCTGTTGAGAGCATGGAGATGCGTTTTACCCGACGTGCTCCTCTAGGGGAGCTGGGCTGGACTCAGGGCGGGGCCATGACAGGTAACGGCATGACAGGCAAGGGTGGTGGTGGGTGCGTCGAGCAGGGCAGGGCAGGGTTGGTATATCTCTTCCCATGGCGCATGCCATCTACAGCGAGAGCACTGAGATGCGTGTCACAGGTAGGGGCTGTGGTGGGTGGCAAGCAAGGGTGGTGGTGGTAGTAGTAGGTGGGGTGAGCACGGGCAGGGTTTGGCGTACCCGTGCCACGTAAAGCTAGCGAGGGTTCTGAGATGTCTTGTTTTGAGGCGCCTCAAAACAAGCCCCCGTGTCATGTACAGCTAGCGAGGGTGCTGAGATGTCTTGTTTTGAGGCGCCTCAAAACAAGCCCCCGTGTCATGTACAGCTAGCGAGGGTGCTGAGATGTCTTGTTTTGAGGCGCCTCAAAACAAGCCCCCATGTCATGTACAGCTAGCGAGGGTGCTGAGATGCATTTCACTGGCAGAATCCGAAGGCAAGCGTGCCACAGTGACCTTCACCAGATGCACCTTCCCTTCCAGGGCAACCGGGCTATTAGTTGCTTCTGAGGGCCAAAACTAACCCTCCTGTTGCCCCGTGACCTCCCCACCCACCCCCTCTCACAGCCTACGGGGCGGAATCTGAAGGAAAGCCTGCCACGGTGACCTTCACCAGATGCACCTTCCAGGGCAACCGGGCGGCGCTGGGGGGAGGTGCTATCTACTCGGGGCTGAGCGTGGGCATGCGCATGGATGGGAGCCGAATCGAGGAGAATGAGAGTGCTGGCACGGGAGGGGGGATACTCATACAAGAGTTTTCCAAAGTGACTATGACGAACTGTGACTGTGTGAACAACAGGTGAGGGGGAGAAGAGTGTATGCGTAGGGAGCATGTGGGGGTTTGGAGAGCGTGTGTGTATGTGGGTGGTGAACGAGGGGGACAAGCGGGGCTCAGTGTGGGCATGCGCATGGAGGGGAGTCGAATCGAGGAGAACGAGAGTGCTGGCACGGGAGGGGGCGTTCTGGTGCAGGAGTTTTCCAAAGTGACCGTGGCAGATTGTGAGTGTATGAACAACAGGTGGGTCTTCCCATATCCTCTCTCCTCCCAGTGCATCCACAGGAGGCAGTTGTCTCTCCCTCTTGCCCATCTCCACAACCTCCACTGCCAACATCCCACCTCTCTCGTCCCGCCTCCATCTTAACCGAGCCACCAGCGAAGGCGGTTTCTGTACCCTTCCCAACCCCTCTCTTCCCTACCCTGTGCGTGTTCTTCCTCCCTCCTCCCCTTCTATGTTGCACTACCCCATGCCCTCTCTCCTGCCACCCAACCACCAGTGCGTCCACAGGGGGTGGTTGTCTCTGCCTCCTAGCCAACGCCACGGCCCACCTCTCCTCCTCCCGCCTCCATCTCAACCGAGCCACCAGCGAAGGAGGAGCCGCCAGAATCAGTGGCGCCGCCACTCTCTCTCTGCTCACCTGATGGTTTCCCTGCCCTTCCCATACCCACTCCTTCCCATCCTGTGTGTATCCTGCCTCCTTCCTTCTGTGTTCCACCCCATACTCTCCCCTCTTCCCCCACAGAGCATCCACAGGGGGTGGTTGTCTCTGCCTCCTAGCCAACGCCACGGCCCACCTCTCCTCCTCCCGCCTCCATCTCAACCGAGCCACCAGCGAAGGAGGAGCCGCCAGAATCAGTGGCGCCGCCACTCTCTCTCTGCTCACCTGATGGTTTCCCTGCCCTTCCCATACCCACTCCTTCCCATCCTGTGTGTATCCTGCCTCCTTCCTTCTGTGTTCCACCCCATACTCTCCCCTCTTCCCCCACAGAGCATCCACAGGGGGTGGTTGTCTCTGCCTCCTAGCCAACGCCACGGCCCACCTCTCCTCCTCCCGCCTCCATCTCAACCGAGCCACCAGCGAAGGAGGAGCCGCCAGAATCAGTGGCGCCGCCACTCTCTCTCTGCTCACCTGATGGTTTCCCTGCCCTTCCCATACCCACTCCTTCCCATCCTGTGTGTATCCTGCCTCCTTCCTTCTGTGTTCCACCCCATACTCTCCCCTCTTCCCCCACAGAGCATCCACAGGGGGTGGTTGTCTCTGCCTCCTAGCCAACGCCACGGCCCACCTCTCCTCCTCCCGCCTCCATCTCAACCGAGCCACCAGCGAAGGAGGAGCCGCCAGAATCAGTGGCGCCGCCACTCTCTCTCTGCTCACCTGATGGTTTCCCTGCCCTTCCCATACCCACTCCTTCCCATCCTGTGTGTATCCTGCCTCCTTCCTTCTGTGTTCCACCCCATACTCTCCCCTCTTCCCCCACAGAGCATCCACAGGGGGTGGTTGTCTCTGCCTCCTAGCCAACGCCACGGCCCACCTCTCCTCCTCCCGCCTCCATCTCAACCGAGCCACCAGCGAAGGAGGAGCCGCCAGAATCAGTGGCGCCGCCACTCTCTCTCTGCTCACCTGATGGTTTCCCTGCCCTTCCCATACCCACTCCTTCCCATCCTGTGTGTATCCTGCCTCCTTCCTTCTGTGTTCCACCCCATACTCTCCCCTCTTCCCCCACAGAGCATCCACAGGGGGTGGTTGTCTCTGCCTCCTAGCCAACGCCACGGCCCACCTCTCCTCCTCCCGCCTCCATCTCAACCGAGCCACCAGCGAAGGAGGAGCCGCCAGAATCAGTGGCGCCGCCACTCTCTCTCTGCTCACCTGATGGTTTCCCTGCCCTTCCCATACCCACTCCTTCCCATCCTGTGTGTATCCTGCCTCCTTCCTTCTGTGTTCCACCCCATACTCTCCCCTCTTCCCCCACAGAGCATCCACAGGGGGTGGTTGTCTCTGCCTCCTAGCCAACGCCACGGCCCACCTCTCCTCCTCCCGCCTCCATCTCAACCGAGCCACCAGCGAAGGAGGAGCCGCCAGAATCAGTGGCGCCGCCACTCTCTCTCTGCTCACCTGATGGTTTCCCTGCCCTTCCCATACCCACTCCTTCCCATCCTGTGTGTATCCTGCCTCCTTCCTTCTGTGTTCCACCCCATACTCTCCCCTCTTCCCCCACAGAGCATCCACAGGGGGTGGTTGTCTCTGCCTCCTAGCCAACGCCACGGCCCACCTCTCCTCCTCCCGCCTCCATCTCAACCGAGCCACCAGCGAAGGAGGAGCCGCCAGAATCAGTGGCGCCGCCACTCTCTCTCTGCTCACCTGATGGTTTCCCTGCCCTTCCCATACCCACTCCTTCCCATCCTGTGTGTATCCTGCCTCCTTCCTTCTGTGTTCCACCCCATACTCTCCCCTCTTCCCCCACAGAGCATCCACAGGGGGTGGTTGTCTCTGCCTCCTAGCCAACGCCACGGCCCACCTCTCCTCCTCCCGCCTCCATCTCAACCGAGCCACCAGCGAAGGGGGCGCAGCCCGAATCAGCGGTGCAGCCACTCTCTCCCTGCTCTCCTGCAACGTCTCTCAAAACACTGCCCCCTGGGGAGGCGCTGTGTGGGTGGAGATGGAAGCAAGGCTCCAAGCGGAAAACAACATGGTGTTTTCCGGGAACCGGGCGGATTATATGGGGGGCGTGGTGTACGCGACGCATGTATCGGATGTGACTGTATCGAATAGTTATTTTCTTGGGAATTACGCGCTGCATGGGGGTGCGATCGCGGCCGAAGCCGAGGCGAACGTCACGGCGGTTGACTCGGGGTTTTCTGGGAATGCTGTATCTGCGGTGCTGCTGCAAGGGCTGGCTGATGGGCGCTTCACCAGATGTACCTTCTCCCGGAACAGGAACCCAGCAGGGAAAGGTGGCGCGCTGCGATTGGCCGACGGGGTTGCTGCGGTGGTGGAGGGGAGCAGGTTCGAGGGGAACGTGGCTGAGCTAGGCGGAGGCTTGGCGGTTGATGGGCAGGCTCGGTTGGACCTAACCTCAGGTTCGGTATTCAGTGGGAATTCCGCTCAGGTGGGGGCAGGTGCGGCGTTTGTAGGGACAGCAATTGTGAATGTATCGGGATGTGCTTTCAAGGGGAATAATGCGAGTGTGGCGGGTGGGGGAGTGGCTGTGCTAGAGCAGGCGTCAGGAGGGGTGGGAGGGAGCGAGTTCAGTGGAAACTATGCAGTGCTGGGCGGTGCGGGGATGTATGTGCTGCGATCGCCTCTGGGGACCTCAGAGAACGGGGGAACAGCAGGAGCAGCAGGGGCGGCAGGGGTGGCAGGCACTGCTGCTGGAGCAGGAGGCTCAGGTGGAAAGTCAGGTGGAGGGCGCCAGTTGCAGCAGCAGGGGCAGCAGCCGGGGCGGCTGGTAGTGCGGCAGTTGGGCTTTGAGGGCAACAGTGCGCTGTACCGGCAGGCTGCAGCGTTCTTTGAGGCCACCACTCACGGTCAGCTGCGCTCGCAGTGCGAGGGGTGTGCGTTCCGAGGGGCGGGGGACACCCAGGGCACCATGCCCGCTGGCTTCTCCATCAAGTGAGTGCCAGGGTGGATGGTGTGAGAGTCAGATAGGTGAATTTTCCTTTTATAGTCCTTTGATAGTTCGCAGATGTGCCGTCTCTCTTAAAAGCCTTCTCCCGGTTCCCCTGCTCACCGCACGCCCCGCTCCCCCTCAGGTGGCCGGGCAGGGAGGAAGATTCAAGCATGGTGAATGCAAGGGGGGAAACCTTTGTGGTGCGGGCGGCAGTGGGGGCGCGCATAGAGGGGCTGCAGGTGCTTGTCCTGGACGCCCTCAACCAGAGCGTGGCGCAGGACAGCACGTCTCTGGCTGCCGTCTCGCCTGATAGTAGGATCAGTGGCGATTTGAGGGGCACTGCTGCCAATGGGATCATCACCATTCCTTCAATTGGTATCCAGGTGGGTGGGCAAGAGGGGTGAATGCACAGTGGAAGTAAATGCGAGAGGGAGAGAGAGGCACCGCACGTCTCTGGCTGCCGTGTCGCCTCACAGCCGCATCAGTGGCGACCTGCGGGGCACTGCGGCCAACGGGATCATCACCATTCCCTCCATCGGCATCCAGGTGGGTGGGCAAAGGGGTGAGTGGAGAGAGAAAGTAAATGCGAGAGGGAGAGAGAGGCACCGCACGTCACTGGCTGCTGTGTCGCCTGACAGCCGGATTAGTGGTGATTTGAGGGGCACTGCCGTCAACGGGATCATCACCATCCCCTCCATTGGTATCCAGGTGGGTCGTGGATAGAGGGGCTAAGTGCAAGAGGTAGAGTGGGGTCATTGTGGCCCTCCTGTGACGCTCACTGTAACCTCAGTCATCTGTTCACTCTTCTGCTTTCCCATTTTCTCCTGCATTCGCCTCCTCTCTCCCGTCTTTCCTCTATCACCTCGTGCAGGTCACACCGGAGGAAACCAAGTCGTTGCAGATCACATCGACCCTCTCCTCGCCCGCCAATTCCTTTCCCTTCCTTCCCCTCTCTTTCTTTCCTGTGATCTCCTTTCCCATCCATGCTCCCATGCAGGTCACACCGGAGGAAACCCAGTCGTTGCAGATCACATCGACCCTGTCCTCGCCCGCCAATTCCTTTCCCTTCCTTCCCCTCTCTTTCTTTCCTGTGATCTCCTTTCCCATCCATGCTCCCATGCAGGTCACACCGGAGGAAGCCCGGTCTTTCGAGGTCACTGTCGCCCTCTCCTCGCCCGCCAAAGCCTTTCCCTTCCTTTCTCCCTTTCTTTCCTGCGATCACCTTTACTTTCCCCCTCATGTTCCCCCCATGCAGGTCACGCCAGAGGAAGCCCAGTCGTTCGAGGTCACTGTGATCCTCTCCTCGCCTGCCAACGCCTTCCCGGCCGTGACCCGTGGCTTCAACATCTCCTTTTGTTCCGCGGGCGAGTTCCTCAACGCGACCTCGCTCACTTGTCAGGACTGTCTGGTTGGGCACTGGTGAGATGAAGAAGAGGGCGAGATTTACTTAGGGTTTCGGGTTTCGGGTTAAGGGTTTCGGGTTGAGGGTTTCGGGTTTCGGGTTCAGGGTTTCGGGTTTAGGGTTTCGGGTTGAAATTCTAGGATTCCGCCAACGCTTTCCCGCCCCCCCGTGACCCGCGCCTTCAACATCTCCTTTTGTTCCGCTGGCGAGTTTCTCAAGGCGACCTCGCTCACTTGCCAGGATTGCTTGGTTGGACATTGGTGAGTAAAAAAGGCGGTGAGATCATATATTAGACTCATAAAGAAAGGCCCTTTCTACCCGTCACATGCGCCTTTTGCATCTCTTTTTGTTCGGCGGGCGAGTTCCTCAATGCGACTGGTGAGTTCAAGAGTTTGGGTCGCTCACTTGCCAGGACTGCTTGGTTGGGTACTGGTGAGTTCAAGAGTTTGGGTTGGTGATTGTTGGGGGTGGTGGCATGGGTGGTGGCAGGGGTGGTGGCATGGGTGGTGGCATGGGTGGTGGCAGGGATGGTCTCTTCCCTTGGTCTTGAATCAAGACTTCTCCTTGATCCCTTATGACCATACATCATCCCTTATGTCTCCCTCACTCCGCTCCTTTCTCAAACGGTCCTTTGTATTAATGCGGTGATTGGTACAAGCAAGACGGTCAACGGAGAACAGAAGGTTGAACATGCAAATACACCTCTCTACACAAGGTTGAACATGCAAATACACCTCTCTACATTTGAGACGTCTCAAAAGTCGTCTACCCGCACCCTAGCACCTCCCCTTACTCCAGGGTGTGGAGGAGGTCCCCTAGCTGCAGGGGCCAGGGGTCCGCCGGAGCCTGCGGGTGTGCCGCTTCAATGCCCGCCCGCACCTTTGCTGAGAGGCATTCAAGGCGTTCGCTTGACGGCATGCAAGGCATGACTGCGCTGGAGCATGACTGCGCTGGAGCATGACTGCGCTGGAGCATGACTGCGCTGGAGCATGACTGCGCTGGAGCATGACTGCGCTGGAGCATGACTGCGCTCGTGTGCCAGGTGCCATACAATCTTCGTAGAGTTGAGTCCATTTTCCGCATCTGAAGTCATGCATCTGGGCCCGCAGGACCTTCCACCTGGACGAAGATCTCCGGTTAAGGCGTAGTGGAAGTCGTGGCAGAAACAGCAACACACTCCATGCCCCCACGCAATTAGGGGATGTTGAGATTCTCATTAGTGCCGCTAGTAGGCAGGTGGCAAAGTCGCTGAGCACCCAAATGAACACCCCACACCGCCGTCGCTTGAAGCTTGTCACGCTTGTCCTTAGGGACATGCACGAGCCCCATGCACCCGAAGACACGAAGCATATCCACCAGGGGCTTCTTGAGCAACTGTGGTGGGAGTCGTCGAACGATCGGCTGCTGGAGCGATGAGGTGAGCTCCGTGATGTCCCAGTCAGACGCAATCGCGAATAGGTCATCCTGTTTTGCCAGATCGTTTGGTGACATGGCTTGGTCTGGTGGTAGCCTCGTTGTTCGCTAGTGACGGACTGAGCCTCCTCTAGTCCGACGTGTCTGGGTAGGGTTCGCCGCGGGCATGGCCTGGGACTCCGGTGATGGGGGGTTTGCTTGATTTTCGGGCCTATAACTCGCGTCGCTTCCCTCGTCCATATCAGGCGCTTGCCTTCCCCCCAGTCCCCTTCCGCTTCCCCTAGCCCCGCTGTTGACCCTTGCCAAGGCGGTTGCCTGTCGTGTGACTCGCAGCGCCGGCTCCCCTGAGCCACGTGGGGCTCATCGGTCTGCCCCCGTTTCCGCCCACTTGCGCTGACTGCTTGACGCTTCCACTGCCTCGTCTCCCCCCGCGCGCGCCTCTCCCCCGCGTCCTCCCACGCGCGCTTTGAGGCTGGACAAGCGTTCTCCCCGCCGGCGGTCCCGGTGTCACTGGCGGATCGTCTCCCGGCCATACAACTTCTTCCCACGATGGAATCAGGGCTCGCGGAATCAGAGGAGCGTCGATCTCCTCGAGCTCGTTCTCCAGCGCGCGAGGCGTTAGTGGAGAGCGCGCCGCATCATGCGCCCCTCGAGGTGGCTGGCGCGCCTCCGCGCTCGGATCGTGGTTTGGCTCCCGAACAGGATCACGCATCGGGGATAACTTGCTCCTCTCCCGTTGCCCCTGGTGTTAGAATTGTATGTTCTAGCATGCCAACACTTGTGACTGTACACCAATTGTGGTGTACAGTGAGTTGGGACTACACCCAACTTTGGGTGTAATCTTGCATTGTGGGGTGCCAATCCAACCCAATTGTGGTGGAGCCCCCAAATGTAACCCACTTGGCCTCAGGTTGCTTCACTTCCCAAAAGTGAGGCCAACCCAACCCAAGTGGGCATGAGGTTGCCTCACTTCCCACAAAGTGTGGTCAACCCAACCTTTCTCCTCCAAGCTTCTCATCCAACCTATGTATGCTTGTTCCTCCTCTAATCAAACTAATGGTTCACTTTACAACTTTCACACCTGTGGCTCCCGAGGCTCCCTTGGCTGATGGGGGTCAGGTTGCCGCGGCAGCTCCATCCGCTCCCTCAGGCCGCGATCCTCCGTTGTCACCGCGTGCTCCTGGTCCGAACGGCGAATCGTCCCCGTCTCGGCGCGGGCGGTCTTCTCGCGCGTCGCCTCAGCGGCGGGAGCAGTCTCCAGCGCCACGGGCTGGTTCCCCCCGTCAGTCGCCGGTGCGCCGCCACGCGTCTCCTGCGCGTCCGGATGATGGCGCTGCTGGACCCCAGCCGCCTGTTCTACCGGCGCGTCGTGCAGCTCCTCCTGCAAACCGATCCCGCTCCTCTCATGGCGGTCGCGGACGTGGCCGTGGCTGGCGCGGCTGGAATGGGTCCCCTGGGCGTGGATCCTACCACGCTGGATCCCCCCTTTCTCTGTATCCCCCCTTTTGAGGCGCCTCAAAAGACTTCTCTCATACATCATCCCTTATGTCTCCCTCACTCCGCTCCTTTCTCTGTATCCCCCCTTTTCCTACTCCCTTCTCCCCCTCCCTCCCCCCCCTCTTCTCCCAGGTGCGAAGCAGGGCAGCCCATGCAGCCCTGTCCGGACGGCTTCTTCTCATTCTACCCGCGAGCCACCACCCCCTCCCAATGCACTCCCTGCACCGACGACAACCTCGACTGCACCTATGGGTGCAGCCCTGCCCAGACGGCTGGATTTTCATTCATACGCGCTGCTCATTGCGTCTACTCTCCTTCCCCCCTTTTCTCCCGTTCTCATCCCTCCTTTCCAACCCCGCAGGTGCGAGGCGGGGCAGCCCATGCAGCCCTGTCCAGACGGCTTCTTCTCATTCTACCCGCGAGCCACCACCCCCTCCCAATGCACCGCCTGCACCGATGACAACCTCGACTGCACCTACGGCATCCTCACCGTGGGGTACCAGAGCTGGCTGGACCTGCAGTCGCTGAATAACACCCCTACCACGTACAGCTGTCTGGTGGCGGATGGGTGTGTGGGGTATGAGTACAACCAGCAGTGGGGGCAGACCACCCCGCAGGGGGACATGATCCAATGCCAACAGGGCTACGACGAAAGCATTCCGTGAGTAGTACTGTTGCTGAGGTGACTTTTGAGTCGACTCAAAAGTCACCTAGTAGTACTGTTGCTGGGGTATTGTACCCCAGGTACATGATACCGGGTGCATCCCATGGGTAATGAATGCATTGTGTGTGTGATAGAAATAATGGCCACCACTTTGTGCTGCAGCAGAGCATTCACTCAACTCAATAGTGCGCCCTCCCATCCCTCTTGCTCTCTCCTTGTCTACGCCACACCCCTCCTTGCTACTTGCTCCCCGTGCCCTCAACACCACAGCACATGTGCGGGGTGCACAAGGAAGTAGCCCTCAGGGTGTGAGGACGGCTACTTCCTCGTGTTGCAGCAGTGCACTCAGTGCTGCTTCTCCCCCTCTGTCTCTCTCACCTTGTCCCCCACATTCTCTCTCCTATTCGTGTCCCCCTGTCAACCCCCAACCACAGCACGTGTGCAGGGTGTGAGGACGGCTACTTCCTCGTGCTCCAGCAGTGCACTCAGTGCAGCAGCACTCTCACAAGGGTAAGTGCACGCTCTATCTAAACAAACCAGTCTCACTTGGGTAGTTACACTCTCTCCCTTGGGGTAAATTTACTGTGAGCCCATGAGATGCTCACGTGAAATATATGTGAGATCATTTATGTGTGATCATTTATGTGTGATCATTTATGTGGGATCATTTATGTGTGATCATTTATGTGTGAATTTGAGGTTTGTCAGCAGGAGCACCGACGTGCCTCTCTTCATCCCGTCTTTTATCTCCTCTCACTTGTCCACCTTCCCCAGGTGTTCCCGCTGCTGCTCATCCTGCTCATCCTGGTCATCCTGGCATGGATGGGAATGAACATACTGGCCGACACATTCAGCAGCATGGACATCTTTCTATCCTTACCTCTCTTCTTCTCCCCCCTTCTTCTCGTCCTCCTTTGCCCTCCCTCCAGGTATTCCCACTCCTCCTCATCCTGGTCATCCTAGCATGGATGGGAATGAACATTCTCGCCGACACATTCAGCAGCATGGACATTTTCCTGAACGACCTGCAGCTGCTAGTCATGATCGCCTCTTTCAACCTCAATTACCCGGATCGCTGGGTGCAGACGCTCGTGAAAATCTACAACTTTGCAGTATTTGACCCGGTGAGATGGAATTCAGAGGTGTGCAGTGTGGTGTGGTGAGGTTGTGTATGGCGCAGTGCAGTGGTGTGTGGTTTGGGTGCGGTTATGAACGACCTGCAGCTGCTAGTCATGATCGCCTCTTTCAACCTCAACTACCCCGACCGATGGGTGCAGACTCTAGTCAAGATCTACAACTTCGCAGTTTTTGACCCGGTAAGGAGGTGTGCAGTGCGGTGTGGTGAGGTGGGATGCTGTGGCGTGTGGTGCAGTGTGATTCTGTGTGGCTCGGTTGCGCTAATCAGCTGTGCAGCTGCAAGTCATAATTGCCTCCTTCAACCTCAAACTCCACCTCCGCTTCCCTCTCCTTACGCTCCATTCCATCCGCCTCACCCCCTCCCCCCACCAACAGGACGCCATAGGCCCGCAGTGCATATTCAACCACACCTTCATCTCCGGAGTTTCATCTCCCCACCTCCCTCCTGACGTTTCCCGCTTCCCAACACCCTTCACCTCCCCACTCCCCGACCCGTCAACAGGACGCCATAGGCCCGCAGTGCATATTCAACTACACCTTCATCTCCAAGTTCTACCTGGGCATCTTCATCCCCGTTATAGGCCTCTTCGTTTACGCGCTGCTGTACGCGCGGCACCGCTGGTGGGGCGGCACGACCTGGTCGCACATCTACTCGTGGACCCGCGGGCCCAACCCGCAGGCGCGCCTCATGCGCTCAGTCACGCGGCGGCGGGCTTATAACGAGTATGAGAACTCGATCGTGCACGCGTCGCTCAAGTGGCTGGACCTCTGCTACGTCTCGGTGATGGTCCGCGTGCTGTCAGTGTACAAGGTAATATCACACTCCTATCGTTCTCATGGACTGCATGGAATGCATGACTGCATTGACCATCCACACTGATAGGCTGCTGGTGGGGCGGCACCACGTGATGGTCCGCGTGCTGTCCGTGTACAAGGTAATGCTTCAAATGCATAAACCAAGTTGACCCCATTGACCCCATTGACCCCATTGACCCCATTGATCGCTCAAGTGGCTCGATCTCTGCTAAGTCTCAGTTATGGTCCGCGTGCTCTACAAGGTAATATCCGGCTCTGTGTTGACTGCATTGACTGCATTGACTGCATGGCAGCAGCGCCGCAGATCACATGGTTCTCATCAGCCCACATCGGCATGTTCCCCCTTCTTCCTCCTTTCCTCCCCTTCTTCCTCCCCTCCCCATTCTTCCCCCAGTCAATGACAGTGGGAGACGCAGTGCTGATGGCAGCAGCGCCACAGATAGCATGGTTCTCATCGGCGCACATCGGCATGTTCACCGTGTCGCTGCTCGTCTCTATCATCTACCTCCTCGGCCTCCCCCTCTTCTTCGCCTTCCTGCTTCTCGATGCACATGCCTCACACGCCTCACACGCCTCACACGCCTCACACGCCCTCTCCCTCTCCCTCTCCCTCTCCCTCTCCCTCTCCCTCTCCCTCTCCCTCTCCCTCTCCCTCTCCCTCTCCCTCTCCCTCTCCCTCTCCCTCTCCCTCTCCCTCTCCCTCTCCCTCTCCCTCTCCCTCTCCCTCTCCCTCTCCCTCTCCCTCTCCCTCTCCCTCTCCCTCTCCCTCTCCCTCTCCCTCTCCCTCTCCCTCTCCCTCTCCCCCTCTCTCCCTGTCCCTCTCCCTTTCTCCCTTCTTCTCCCCTCCCCATTCTTCCCCCAGTCAATGACAGTGGGAGACGCAGTGCTGATGGCAGCAGCGCCACAGATAGCATGGTTCTCATCGGCGCACATCGGCATGTTCACCGTGTCGCTGCTCGTCTCTATCATCTACCTCCTCGGCCTTCCCCTCTTCTTCGCCTTCCTGCTGCTCGATGCACACGCCTCCGATGCCCTTTCCTCCAACCTCTTCCGACAAAGATTTGGTTGGCTCACAGAGCGATACAAGCGCGAATTCTGGTGGTAAGTGGTGGTGGTGTTGTGAGGGAATGGGAGTGGTGGTGCTGTTGTGATCGACTGTAGGGTATAGGTAATAGGAGGTTGGGAAGGGCACGCCTCCGACGCCCTCTCCTCCAACCTCTTCCGACAAAGATTTGGTTGGCTCACAGAGCGATACAAGCGCGAATTCTGGTGGTAAGTGGTGGTGCTGTTGTGAGGGAATGGGAGTGGTGGTGCTGTTGTGATTGACTGTAGGGTATAGGTAATAGGGGGTTGGGAAGGGCACGCCTCCGACGCCCTCTCCTCCAACCTCTTCCGACAAAGATTTGGTTGGCTCACAGAGCGATACAAGCGCGAATTCTGGTGGTAAGTGGTGGTGCTGTTGTGAGGGAATGGGAGTGGTGGTGCTGTTGTGATCGACTGTAGGGTATAGGTAATAGGGGGTTGGGAAGGGCACGCCTCCGACGCCCTCTCCTCCAACCTCTTCCGACAAAGATTTGGTTGGCTCACGGAGCGATACAAGCGCGAATTCTGGTGGTAAGTGGAGCCGTTTGGAGATCTGGGGTTGTTGAAGGGCCTTGTCGCGGGTAGGCAGGTGGGCTGCCGAAGCCACTGGGATGGGCGTTTTACAGCAAGCAGATACTCTTTTTGAGGCGCCTCAAAAATTTTGAGGCGATTCAAAACAGCAAGCATATGCTTTTTTGGCGACTCAAACTTAATGCCACGGGCACGCACAGTCGTGTACTCATGTGCTGCACGACTCAACAATTTTGAGAGTTCTTAAAAGTGATTTTTAACAATGCTTGTGTGCTGGAAGTAACACCCTCTCCTGTTCTGTGTCTCTTCCCCCACCACTGCAGGTGGCATCTGGTGACAATGGTGCTGCGCCTGGTTCACGCCCTGGTACTCGTGTTCTTGCAGCAAGACACTCGCGCCCAGGTGGGTACCTCTTGAGAAGCAAGGCGCGTAGGTGGGTAGCGTTTCTGTTGCTGAGGCTCCTCATGTACTGCGGCTGGTTCACGCCCTGGTGCTCATGTTCCTGCAGCAAGTCATTTGTGCCCAGGTGAGAAGAGTGATGTCTGCTGTGCAGGGCAGTCAGGTGGGCAAACAGGTGGGGATGCACATAACATATGTAGCCTGTAGGGCATCCATGCCGTTCCTACCATCATCTTTTCCTTCCTTCCCTCCCTCTCTCTCTCCCCTCACCCGTTCCTTCCAGATCGCGATTATCCTGCTGCTGCAGGCACTAACGATCGGCGCACAGTACAAGTCCTCGCTCCTCGCCCTCTCCTCCGTCCTCAACTCTTCCCTTATTCCCTGCCCCCTCTTTCCACCCCATTTCCTCTTTTTCCCCCCCACCCCATACAGATTGTCATAATCCTCCTGCTACAAGCCCTAAGGATCGGATCACAGTACAAGTCCTTGCCGCTCGCCTCCCTTTCCCTCGGTTGTCTCCAGGCCTTCCTCTCCTTGAGCCACTTCTTCTTCACCCTCGGCCTGCTCTGCTTTAACTACATCAAAATCCCTCCCCGCCTTCTCCCAGGCCGTCTTCGCGCTCTCCTCCCTCCTCATGCCTTCCCCACTGCCCTTTCTCCTGCCTCCCGTCCCCTTTGGCAGATTGTCATAATCCTCCTGCTACAAGCCCTAAGGATCGGATCACAGTACAAGTCGTCGCCGCTCGCCTCCCTTTCCCTAGATTATCTCCAGGCCTTCCTCTCGCTGGGCCACTTCTTCTTCACCCTCGGTCTCCTCTGCTTCAACTACATCAAACTCCCCGCCTTCTCCCAGGCTGTCTTTGCGCTCTCCTCCCTCCTCATCCTCGCTCCCGCTGCCTTCTCCCTCGTTTTCGAAGCAATAAACAAGGACTTAGAAATCGTGAATCGGCAGCTGTTAAACCGAGTTTGGAAGGGCGAGCGGCGGAGAAATAAAGCCAAGTATGATAAAATGGACCCGTATGACTTAGTCCCGCCGCAGGAGATTTCCGCGTGGTTCCGCCCACACGTGGTCTTCCCGCTGCTCTTAGCTAAGCGTGCGCACGAGCGGAAACTTTTGCTGAAAGTCCGCGACCGCGTGCAGACGTGTAAGCTAGCGGGAATGGCGCCAGTCGATTGGGTGAGTCATCTGAACAAGCCGCAGTTATACGCGGTGTTGAGTCAGGCTTTATTGGGGGCTAGTGCGGGACATATCACGATTGCTAGGGTTCCTAGAAAAGGGACGTTTTGTCGCGAGCATGGGACGTGGCATGCTGCTGGGGAAGAGTGCAGCTTCGTTAGGAGAGCAGGGGGGATGCGTGGAAGGGGGGAGGGAAGAGGGGGGGGAGGGGGAGAGGGAAGGCAGCTTCTGATGGCGCCTGGTGGTGGGGTGGGAGGGGAGGGAGCAGGGGCAGGAGGAGCAGGAACAGGAGGAGGAGAAGGAGCAGCAGCAGCAGCAGCAGCAGCAGCAGCAGCAGGAGAAGGAGGAGGAGGAACCAACGCAGCAACGTCAGCGCAGCTGCTGTCAGCAATGCCATGGGCACCTCGCATCGAGAGGCATGTGAGCTGGGCGTCCTACGGCAGCAGCAGGGACTTCGACGGCAGCGCCTCCGGCCGAAACGCCGCCTCTGCTGCAGCTGCCGCCGCTGCTGCTGCTGCTGCTGCTGCTGCGTCGCCTGGGATGTCTCCATTCGCCCCTGCAACAGGGACTCCGGGTGGGGCTGGTCTCGCAATGTCCCCGCTTTCTGGCATGTCACCCATACATGGCATGTCACCACTCTCAGGAGCAAACGGTGCTCTGGCTTCCAGCACGGTGCATGGCATGCATGGTGCTGCTAGTGCTGCTGGTGCTGGCGGTGGGTCGCCCATACACGGGGTGTCGTCGTCGCCGTCGCTGGCGCTGCATGGCATGTCGCCGCTTGCCCCAGCAGCAGCAGGAGGACCGGGTGCATCCCCCCTGTCTCGTGTCTCGGGTCCTGGAACGGACGTGGAGGGAGGAGGAGAGTCCCCACTCTCATGGGCGCTGCAAGGTGGAGGAGGAGGAGCAGGAGGAGGAGGGGCAGGAGGAGCAGGAGCAGGAGGAGGAGGAGGAGAAGGAGGGGGAGGAGGAGGAGAAGGAGGGGGAGGAGGCATGGAGAATGGAGGGATGGGGCAAGAGAGGGCAGAGAGCATCAAGGTGCATGGGCTGGTGTCATGGGCACAGGCAGGTAGCGAGGGTACTGGGGGTGGGGAGAAGTTTGAGAGGCTGGGTGGTGATGGCGGGCAGGGAGGCCATGGGGGAGGAGGAAGAAATGGAGGAGGGATCGAGGTTCAAAGAGAAGGGGAGGGGGTAGTGGAAGGCGAAGCAGGGGCAAGGGGCGGAGGAGGAGAGGGAGGAGCAGGGGGAGAAGCAGGGGGAGAAGCAGGGGGAGAAGGAGGGGGGGAGGGAGGGGGAGTGGAGTATGTAGAAGCAAAGATGAACATGGCAGAGCTGACTCTCACCTTCCAGCGCCATCTCTCTGTGCTCGTGCGCGCTGAGAAGACCAAGAAGGACGGGTCCCTGCGGCTGCTGCTGCAGTCCGAGTGCATTCCGGACATCCTCAGCTGGCTCACCAGCTCTGACTGGTGAGTGTTGCCCTGAAAAAACTGCTCAAAAGGACAGTGGTTAGGTTGGGTTGGGTTGGGTTGGGCTGGGTTGTTGGGGTGGACTGGGTTGACTCTGAGGGCACCTCTCATCATCTCCCCCTCCTCCCCCCACCTCTGCAGCGCCCAGGCAGATCAGATGCTTTTAAGGGAGCTGGTGCTGGCTGTGCGGGTCGCAGCACTGGAAGAAACCGGTGGGCTGGACTGGTTCTGGGGCATGCGGTGCTTCTACCGCGACCCGCAACCCTCCTCTCTCCCTTCCCCCATCCACACAACCCACACACCCCCTCCACTGCAGCGCCCAGGCGGATCAGATGCTTTTAAGGGAGCTGGTGCTGGCGGTGAGAGTGGCAGCGTTAGATGAGGCCGGCAGGCTGGACCGGTTTCGAGACGTGCGGTGCAGTGCAGTGCGATGCTTGTGCTCATCCCTCCTCCCTCCCATCTCCCTCCTGTCTCCCTTCCCACTCCAGCGCCCAGGCGGATCAGATGCTTCTAAGGGAGCTGGTGCTGGCGGTGCGAGTGGCCGCACTGGAAGAGACCGGTGGACTGGACTGGTTCCGTGACGTGCGGTGCTTGTGCTCACCCCTCCCAATCCCTCCTTTCTCCCTCTGCCTCCGCAGTGCCCAGGCGGATCAGGTGCCTCAAAGGGAGCTGGTGCTGGCGGTGCGAGTGGCCGCACTGGAGGAAACCGGAGGGCTGGACTGGTTCCGCGGCGTGCGGTGCTTCTACCCACCCCTCAACCCCCTCCATTTGCACCCCTCGTCCCCCCCACTCTGTCTCCCTTATCGGGTGCAGCGCCCAGGAGCTAGTTTTGGCAGTGCGGGTTGCAGCATTGGAGGAGACCGGAGGGCTGGACTGGTTCCGCGGCATGCGGTGCTTGTGCTCACCCCTCTCCTCTCCCTCCTTACTGGATGCAGCGCCCAGGCAGATCAGAAGCTGCTGAGGGAGTTGGTGCTGGCGGTGCATCCATGCTCCTTGTGTAAGCACCTCTCTTTTCCACCGCCTTCCCTTCAAACCTCTCTCCGTTCCCCCCCCCTGCAGTGTCCAGGCAGATCAGATGCTGCTGAGGGAGTTGGTGCTGGCGGTGCGAGTAGCAGCTCTGGAGGAGACTGGCAGACTGGACTGGTTCCGTGACGTGTGGTGCTTCTACCGCAACCCTAAACTCTCCTCTCTCCCTTTCCCTGTCCATGCAACCCACACCACCTCTTCTCCTCTGCAGCGCCCAGGCAGATCAGATGCTTTTAAGGGAGCTGGTGCTGGCAGTGCGAGTGGCAGCTCTGGAGGAGACAGGTGGGCTGGACTGGTTCCGCGGTGTGCGGTGCTTGTACTCACTCCTCCCAATCCTTCCTTTCTCCCTTCGCCTCTGCAGCGCCCAGGCGGATCAGATGCTTTTAAGGGAGCTGGTGCTGGCGGTGAGAGTGGCAGCGTTAGAAGAGACCGGCGGGCTGGACTGGTTTCGCGGTGTGCGGTGCTTCTATCGCAACCGGTTCGCGTTCGTTAACAAGGGGGGGAGCAAGGGGAAGGGGGGGAAGGGTGGGGAGGGGGGGAAGAGCGGGGGAAAGGCCAAGGGTTTGGAGGGGGGGACGGGTGGGGGGGAGAACGGTCGGGGGGGGGGAGAACAGTCGGGCTGGTGAGGGAAGCAGCCAGGGTAGGGGCTTTCTGGGGTGGTTTCAAAGAGGCAAGAAGCAGACAGCTGATGGTGGTGGTGCAGCTGATGGTGCAGTTGATGGTGCAGCTGATGGTGCTCCTTCCTCGGGTGCCTATGGGAGCAAGGGCAACCTGCTTTGAGGTTCCTTCTGAGAGTGTATGGTAGAAGGGTAGGAGTTGAATGAACACCCTATGTACTGTACCGTAAGCATTCGAGTTTTTTCGGGTGTGGGAAAGCCATAGGTGGAAGGGTTGCAAAATCTGCTGGGAATGAGAGAAGTGGAGTGGGTGGTGCAACCCAAGAGAGATCACACACTCTGTCTCTCTCCATGCCTGTGGTTCTTTGTTCAACATGTACAGTATCTGTTAGTTTTCCTTCAAATTTTGAGGGAAAGTGTGCTCTAACTGTAAAAACAGGAAGTGACCATCAAGCATTCATGATCTCAAAATGTTTTCCTACAGCATTCTCTGCAGTGAGCGATGGCAAATGACAACCTAGGCACACTAGACCACCGCATCACTCATCATCAGGTAATGTCACTCATCCGGAATAGGTATTGTCAGTGGTCATTAGCAGGGCTGACGTTTCATTTTAAGCTTCCCTGATTCCGGGGAAAATTTTCCCCCTCTATTATGGGTGCACATTTTCCAGAAAAGCAGTACCCTGGTTGCTCAGGGTTGTAAAGTAGTTAACACTGATTGTTCAGGGTCGAGAACTGAACATCAGAGTAGTAACGCGCGCTTTGTTACCGGGGAAAATATCCCCACTCTCGAAGTTTCGATCAGAACGAAGTTTCGAAGAAACTTCGTCTCGATAAAGCGGGAAGGGGGGGATTACGCACATGTAGATCGATCAATCCAAGGCGGGGTCATCGGAAGGAAACTTCCGAGAAACTTTCTTTCGATAAGTCGGGGAAAATATCCCCACTCTCCATTAAGTCTCGAAGTTTCGATCAGTACGAAGTTTCGAAGGAACTTTGTCTCGATAAAGCGGGAAGGTGGGGGATTACGCACATGTGGGGGAATCACTGCGATCAATCCAAGGCGGGGTCATTGGAAAGAAACTTCCGAAAAACTTCCTCTCGATAAGTCAGGGTCCACACAGTCGATACTTTGTTAAGTCAGGGTCCACTAACAGCCTAGTCTGTTACACTGTACTCAAAATCAGGGATAGCTAAACTATTACTCTGATTGGATCAGGGCTGGAAATTCAATAACTCTGAAATTTCAGTCTCCACAAAGTGGAAAGCCTGAAATCACCCTGAAATCAGGGTAATTACCCTGATAAAATCGGCCCTGGTCATTAGGTACTCACTCATCCGGATTAGGTATTGTCAGTGGTCATTAGGTACTATCACTCTTCCGGATTAGGTATTGTCACTGGTCATTAGGTACTTGTCACTCTTCATTCTTCACAACACTGCATATAAGACCTTGCCGTTACTATCACATAATTTAGGCGTACGGTACATTAAATGGCACCAATAGAGAATAACACAAGCTACTCCAGCGCCATAAATACTGCAGGGCTCCCCCTCTTGTGGATAAGCTCCTGCTGTTAGCACTTGACCTACAGCACATGTGAACCTGATACCATGTTGACAAAACCTCCACGCCCCACGAGTTGTCACACTGTATAAGTTAAACGCCTGTTGAGCCTTTTGCTGCCCAGGATTCGTGCCTGTCTGCTGCTCTGGTGGTCTTCTTGTCCGGCTGACCATCTGATGCGGGCTGTATGCAGCTGTTGCATGATAGGCTGTATGATTGGCTGCAGCTGCGTTTGCTGCTGCGTATGAGAGATATCGCCATGCACCACCCATTCCGTAAAAATGTACTGGTATTCTTGTCAGAAAGAGGATTTGTCATATTTCTTCAGAAGCCGAACACCCAGTCGATTTCAACAGCGTCGGTGGTCTGACTCCGACCCCACACACTGCAGGAGAGCAGCTGCGGCGTTTGCGCCAACGATCCTTCCGAATCTACCAAATCTGCAGCATCAAACTCGTCCGGTTGGTACCCTCCAAACAAACCCCAAAGAGAAGGAGCTACATTCAGCGTCACCCCCTGAACGTCCGCCGCTGCTGCTGCTGCTTCCCCTGCGACCGATTCCGAGCCTTCAATCTGCTCCGATCTAGCTCCGTCTGTTTCTACCGACCCTTCTTCAACCGACGAGGAGGCGAGAGACGAAGAGAGGCTTAGCCGTGAGCTCGCACACAGCAAGCTGGTATGAGTCTCGAGCTCCAACCTCGGCGGGGTTTGCGGGGAAGCATGCGGTAGCTTCCTGGAAACCACGGGGCTGAACTCGGCTGAGCATTGGAGATGAGAGACGGGCGAGCTGGGGAGGTGGGATTGCGAGTGCATGGCGGGACTGGGGGAAGAGTGGGCAATGCCTGTACACATGCATTGGCTTGCGTTGTCGATCGATGTATCGGTTGCTAAGCTATCTACCACCTGTTCGGAACGCTCGTTCTGCAGCTCCTGCGCTGACTGCTGCTGCTGCTGCTGCTGTTGCTGCTGCTGTTGCTGCTGCGATCGGAACACCTCGGTGAACCACGGATGCTGGAGTATGTCGCTAGCAGTCGGTCTCTTTGCCGGATCCTGCCGGAGCAGGCACCGAATCAGGTCTTTCGCGAACGGCGAAATTGACCCCCAAATTGGCCGGTAAAACGAAAACTTTCCGCGCCTGACGGCTGCGAGGACCTCGTCCTCCGATTCCCCGAAGAATGGAGCTGAACCCGACAAAAGCATGTACAGCATGACACCCAAAGACCAGATATCTGCTTCGTGGCCGTAATTTCCGGAAAGAACTTCTGGAGCGAGGTAAAAAGGGCTTCCAGCGACACCGTAAACATGCTTGTGAGCGTCCACGAAGAGAGAAAGCCCGAAATCAGTAAGTTTGACCCTCGGCGTCAATGAGAAGCATTTCGTAGGAGACTTGCAATCATCTGTTCCCGCTGCTGTCCTAACGCCTGATCTCTGTACAAGAAGGATATTTTCCGGTTTTAAGTCGCGGTGTAGAACGCCTTGCGCATGGCAATGCATAACGGCAAGCACAATCTCCTCGAAGACTGCTGCTGCTTGTGCTTCCGTCATGAAGCCATGGCTGCTGATGTCGTCGAATAAATCACCACCCTCGCAGAGCTCCATGATTAGATGGACGAAACTATCGTCCTCGAACACGTCTTCCAGGTTCAGCGTGTAAGGATTGCCGGAAAGTCTTCGCATGATCTCGATTTCTCTGCGAACATCTTCCTTATCCTCCCTGAAGGAATGAAGAAGCAAGCAAGCGAACAACCAAGGAGTCTGAGTCAGCAGTGTTTGTAAACGACCGCGCAAGACCAACACGATGTTCCTGATCCATTTGTGAATAAGCATAAACAAAAGACGCCAGAAGGCGTGGGAATAGAAACTAACCAGTGCGAGAGTTTAGACTTGTCAATCGACTTGCATGCGTATTGTCCGCCTCCGGAACGTTTTCTGCAAAGCTTGACGATCCCGAAATGTCCACGACCGAGCTCCTTCTCTAAGGTATACGCATCCTCTAGCCGTCCCGTACGCTGATGCAGTACCCATCCGCAATCTAGGTCAAACGGGAAGCGGACCATCGCTGAACCTCAAAACCCCGAGTTCTTTGAAGGTGTTTTTTTACTAAGAAGACCACAACTTCGCTATCCTTTGAAGAATGTTCGAAGCGCTACCTGTGGTGCTTCTGGTGCTTCCTCAGTGAAGATCTATAAATAAAGTGGTATTAGCAGGCTCTATAAATATAGGTCTTACCACACTATCAGAGACCTAATAAATAAAACACGTTATGGTAACAGCTGGTGCTAGTGGAAGGGGAAATAAAAACGTCTCACACTTCTAGTTCATGAATCATGAACCCTAGCTCTGCCAAACAGTGAAGGTTGAAAAGATGGGAAGGTTGTGGGATGAGTGAGAGGGAGTCTGCTCTGCTCGTGATGCAGCTGTTAGGGGGGAAGAGGGAGAATCTAGCCCTGAGCTCTCCAGCTACTGTTCTTAACCGGTCGCATTCGCAGGCGGGGAGAGGACCCACGACGCAACGCGACAAGCAGACGAGGGGCGAACAACACGGCGACGGCATCGCACTCGGGAATTTTGCCCAGCTCTGCCAAGCACATGCCACCAAAAGAGTCGTCATCGCGAGCAATTGCGACAATCGCCTCGTAGGCATCGGCGACGGTGTAGCAGAGGAGATCCCACCCACAGGAGCATGGGTGGGAGGTGCGACGGAACAGAACCCAAGAGGATCGCCGAGCGAATAAAAGGAGGCACGACAATCGCCAAGCGACCGTCAGGTGAGTGGACGAGTCGCTATCTGGTCTGCAGACTGTCGGCGACTCAGAGATTTCCCTGAGACGGTTTCGCACTGTTTGGAATGGAACCGAGATGAGAGATGACTGGGCGATGGGGCAGGTGAATCATCGCCTCGCATACACCTAGTCGCTGGGAAGTTGGCAGAAAAAACGCACCGCCCTGGACCCAACCAGACCTGACGGAGGTTTCGTCTCAGGGTGGCGGGAAAGTGAAGTTGACGGACAGTCTGCGACGAGCAGCATTACTGTGGATAATAATGTGTGCGGTCAGAGCGGCCAGCGAAGAAATCCCGACGAAGACGTGTCGCCTCCCTAGTTCTACGCGGTCCAGCACACCTCCGTGTGGTGCACGATTCCGCTTCCGCAGAAGAAGCGGAATGCTGACATGGATCCGATAATGATTGACCTAGAGAGCCCCACATGGCCGTCAATCGAACTGACCTTGCTTGACGGCAGCTCTCTCTCACCTACTACACGACAGGGACGTCTATCACAAAGGAGCTTCTTCGATGTCTCTCCGAAGCTCCGCAGAAGCTTACCCACACGAGCCACGTCGGGCTATTTCAAAGCCGGAGTTGCGTCGTTCAGTCACCAATATAATCAACATACGTACAACTAGTAAAACCAGATAAAAGGCCTTGACAATTAAAAAACTTACATCTAAAACTGCTAAAGCTTAGAAGGCAGCAAACGTGCTGACAAAACAATTGGTGAAAGAGCACTTCACCAGGAACATATATCAACACGGTGCACAAGTAGTGCAGCGGTCACAATGCTCACTGCTGCATGCTAAGGCCGGAAAACACACCCAGTATCCCACCTAGCCTCCTCTTGCCCTCGTTATGCTGCCGCGCCTTCAAACTCATAAGCGAGTGGATCAGATGTTTCACACATGCGGTACTCGTCGATCATTGACCGCACGACCTCGTGCGATTCGTCAAACTCCACCAAGTTATCCTATGTGTGGGAAGTGGAAGTATGGGAAAGAAAAGATGAGCAAGGTAGTATCTTCCTACTTAAAGCAACACTTCTTCACCCAATTGAGATACTGGGTTCAGCTGCTATTAGTTTCATAGACTAACAAGACTGTCCCAAGCACACAAGCAAAAACAAAACCAGGGAGGCATGATTGAAGGAGACAACCAGCTAACGGGACAGGACTCACAGAGAACATGGAGAACTGCTTGTAGGGCTCGAGGAAGGCAGAGTGGTTGGCCAGTCTCTCTTTCTCAGGTGCCTCAGAAAGAAAAAGACCCTCACACATGACTCATAGAGAACATGGAGAACTGCTTGTAGGGCTCGAGGAAGGCAGAGTGGTTGGCCAGTCTCTCTTTCTCAGGTGCCTCAGAAAGAAAAAGACCCTCACACATGACTCATAGAGAACATGGAGAACTGCTTGTAGGGCTCGAGGAAGGCAGAGTGGTTGGCCAGTCTCTCTTTCTCAGGGGCCTCAGAAAGACAAACACCCTCACACATGACTCACAGAGAACATGGAGAACTGCTTGTAGGGCTCGAGGAAGGCGGACTTGCGGCGCATGTTCTCATATTGCTTCACACAACGCCCAAACAGGTGCCTCATGCCCGTGTGGTTCGCCAGCATCAGCCCGCTCACTTTGTGCCCCGTCTGCACGTAAGGCGACTTGCGAGAAAGAGCCACCTGGAAGGGGTGTGGTGGGAACAGGTGAGAAGGGGTGCGGTGGGGTGGGGGTGGGGTGTAGGTGAGGTGGGGTTGGGGGGGACTCCAGTAGTCATCTCGCATGCCCGTGTGGTTGGCCAGTATGAGCCCGCTCACTTTGTGCCCCATCTGCACGTAAAGCAACTCACGGAAAAGAGCCACCTCGGAGGGATGTGTGGAAACGGGGAAGAGCAGCATTTCAGTTAACTCAGGCAGTTGTTTCCCATGCCTCTCGCCTGCCCGTGTTGTTGGCCAGTATGAGCCCACTCACTTTGTGCCCCGTCTGCACGGAGGACCACCCGGGAGGTGAGTAAGGAGAAGAGTTGGGTGGGGTGGGTGGAGGAGATTAGGGATTTTTTTAGAATAAAAAAAAAAAAATCCCTGCAATGAGAAGGATGCGCTGCACGCTCCTTTTCACTTCCCCCGGATGAGGTTCATGCCAACCCCCTCACGATGAGGTTGGCTGCAACCCAATCTATGAAAAAATCAAACTACAACCCACCATTGATCCATGCTGCATCACAACCACCACTAACCGCCAAGCACCAACTGACCTCCAACCACCAGCTCACGCGCACCTGTATATTTGCAGGCCCCCATTCATTGAACGACGCAGCCTGCTTCTCTCGGATGCGCTGCATGCTCTTGTTCACCTCCCCCGGATCCACCTCCGCCTGTATGACATTCAGAGGTGAGATGGGGGAGGGGAGAAGAGAGCGGGGAGTTATAACATGCATCCACCTCCCACCGGATGACGTTCAGTTCAGAATGGCCATGTACCGGGCCGCGGTCACGTCCCGTGCTCGCCCGTAGTGAGATGATACCATCCAGTTCTGTGGCTGGAGTGGAATAGGGGAGAGGGGTGAACAGGCGAAAAGGCAAACATGCGATGGAGGGAGGGAGCTGAAAATGAGACAATCCGCACGCAATGGAGAGAACGTACGCCTGCAGAATTGCATTTGAGGCGCCTAAAATTTTTTGAGGCGCCTCAAAAGGAGGGAGGGAGCTGAAAATGAGACAATCCGCATGCAATGGACAGAACGTAGGTCTGCAGAATTGCCCTCCTCACACCTTACCCCCTCACATTCTACCATCCTACCATCCTACCATCCTACCATCCTACCATCCTACCATCCCATCTCTCACTCACCACGCTACCTTCCTGCAGCAGTTGCCTCATGTCGCCAAAAACCGATAATGAACGATGTTCTCCTGCCGTGAATGCACCATGACACGCACATGCACAGTCCCACCATCCTACCACCTTTCCTCCTCACTCACACTTGGCCTCCTCACACCTTGCGTTACCCTCACCACCCATCCCACCTGCAGCAGTCGCCTCATGACGTCAAAGACCGATGTCTTGCGAATGACGTTCTCCTGCAGTGCATGCAGCAGCATATCACATGAGAGAACGCACATGAGAGAACGCACATGAGAGAACGCACATGAGAGAACGCACATGAGAGAACGCACATGAGAGAACGCACATGAGAGAACGCACATGAGCACATGAGAGAACGCACATGAGAGAACGCACATGAGAGAACGCACATGAGAGAACGCACATGAGAGAAACGCACATGAGAGAACGCACATGAGAGAACGCACATGAGAGAACGCACATGAGAGAACGCACATGAGAGAACGCACATGAGAGAACGCACATGAGAGAACGCACATGAGAGAACGCACATGAGAGAACGCACATGAGAGAACGCACATGAGAGAACGCACATGAGAGAACGCACATGAGAGAACGCACATGAGAGAACGCACATGAGAGAACGCACATGAGAGAACGCACATGAGAGAACGCACATGAGAGAACGCACATGAGAGAACGCACATGAGAGAACGCACATGAGAGAACGCACATGAGAGAACGCACATGAGAGAACGCACATGAGAGAACGCACATGAGAGAACGCACATGAGAGAACGCACATGAGAGAACGCACATGAGAGAACGCACATGAGAGAACGCACATGAGAGAACGCACATGAGAGAACGCACATGAGAGAACGCACATGAGTGAACGCACATGAGAGAACGCACATGAGAGAACGCACATGAGAGAACGCACATGAGAGAACGCACATGAGAGAACGCACATGAGAGAACGCACATGAGAGAACGCACATGAGAGAACGCACATGAGAAAACGCACATGAGAGAACGCACATGAGAAAACGCACATGAGAGAACGCACATGAGAGAACGCACATGAGAGAACGCACATGAGAGAACGCACATGAGAAAACGCACATGAGAGAACGCACATGAGAGAACGCACATGAGAGAACGCACATGAGAAAACGCACATGAGAAAACGCACATGAGAAAACGCACATGAGAGAACGCACATGAGAAAACGCACATGAGAGAACGCACATGAGAGAACGCACATGAGAGAACGCACATGAGAGAACGCACATGAGAAAACGCACATGAGAGAACGCACATGAGAGAACGCACATGAGAGAACGCACATGAGAGAACGCACATGAGAGAACGCACATGAGAGAACGCACATGAGAGAACGCACATGAGAGAACGCACATGAGAGAACGCACATGAGAGAACGCACATGAGAGAACGCACATGAGAGAACGCACATGAGAGAACGCACATGAGAGAACGCACATGAGAGAACGCACATGAGAGAACGCACATGAGAGAACGCACATGAGAGAACGCACATGAGAGAACGCACATGAGAGAACGCACATGAGAGAACGCACATGAGAGAACGCACATGAGAGAACGCACATGAGAGAACGCACATGAGAGAACGCACATGAGAGAACGCACATGAGAGAACGCACATGAGAGAACGCACATGAGAGAACGCACATGAGAGAACGCACATGAGAGAACGCACATGAGAGAACGCACATGAGAGAACGCACATGAGAGAACGCACATGAGAGAACGCACATGAGAGAACGCACATGAGAGAACGCACATGAGAGAACGCACATGAGAGAACGCACATGAGAGAACGCACATGAGAGAACGCACATGAGAGAACGCACATGAGAGAACGCACATGAGAGAACGCACATGAGAGAACGCACATGAGAGAACGCACATGAGAGAACGCACATGAGAGAACGCACATGAGAGAACGCACATGAGAGAACGCACATGAGAGAACGCACATGAGAGAACGCACATGAGAGAACGCACATGAGAGAACGCACATGAGAGAACGCACATGAGAGAACGCACATGAGAGAACGCACATGAGAGAACGCACATGAGAGAACGCACATGAGAGAACGCACATGAGAGAACGCACATGAGAGAACGCACATGAGAGAACGCACATGAGAGAAACGCACATGAGAGAACGCACATGAGAAAACGCACATGAGAGAACGCACATGAGAAAACGCACATGAGAGAACGCACATGAGAGAACGCACATGAGAGAACGCACATGAGAGAACGCACATGAGAGAAACGCACATGAGAGAACGCACATGAGAGAACGCACATGAGAGAACGCACATGAGAGAACGCACATGAGAGAACGCACATGAGAGAACGCACATGAGAGAACGCACATGAGAGAACGCACATGAGAGAACGCACATGAGAGAACGCACATGAGAGAACGCACATGAGAGAACGCACATGAGAGAACGCACATGAGAGAACGCACATGAGAGAACGCACATGAGAAACGCACATGAGAAAACGCACATGAGAGAACGCACATGAGAGAACGCACATGAGAGAACGCACATGAGAGAACGCACATGAGAGAACGCACATGAGAGAACGCACATGAGAGAACGCACATGAGAGAACGCACATGAGAGAACGCACATGAGAAAACGCACATGAGAGAACGCACATGAGAAAACGCACATGAGAGAACGCACATGAGAGAACGCACATGAGAGAACGCACATGAGAGAACGCACATGAGAGAACGCACATGAGAGAACGCACATGAGAGAACGCACATGAGAGAACGCACATGAGAGAACGCACATGAGAGAACGCACATGAGAGAACGCACATGAGAGAACGCACATGAGAGAACGCACATGAGAGAACGCACATGAGAGAACGCACATGAGAGAACGCACATGAGAGAACGCACATGAGAGAACGCACATGAGAGAACGCACATGAGAGAACGCACATGAGAGAACGCACATGAGAGAACGCACATGAGAGAACGCACATGAGAGAACGCACATGAGAGAACGCACATGAGAGAACGCACATGAGAGAACGCACATGAGAGAACGCACATGAGAGAACGCACATGAGAGAACGCACATGAGAGAACGCACATGAGAGAACGCACATGAGAGAACGCACATGAGAGAACGCACATGAGAGAACGCACATGAGAGAACGCACATGAGAGAACGCACATGAGAGAACGCACATGAGAGAACGCACATGAGAGAACGCACATGAGAGAACGCACATGAGAAAACGCACATGAGAGAACGCACATGAGAGAACGCACATGAGAGAACGCACATGAGAGAACGCACATGAGAGAACGCACATGAGAAAACGCACATGAGAGAACGCACATGAGAGAACGCACATGAGAGAACGCACATGAGAGAACGCACATGAGAGAACGCACATGAGAGAACGCACATGAGAGAACGCACATGAGAGAACGCACATGAGAGAACGCACATGAGAGAACGCACATGAGAGAACGCACATGAGAAACGCACATGAGAGAACGCACATGAGAGAACGCACATGAGAGAACGCACATGAGAGAACGCACATGAGAGAACGCACATGAGAGAACGCACATGAGAGAACGCACATGAGAGAACGCACATGAGAGAACGCACATGAGAGAAACGCACATGAGAGAACGCACATGAGAGAACGCACATGAGAGAACGCACATGAGAGAACGCACATGAGAGAACGCACATGAGAGAACGCACATGAGAGAACGCACATGAGAGAACGCACATGAGAGAACGCACATGAGAGAACGCACATGAGAAAACGCACATGAGAGAACGCACATGAGAGAACGCACATGAGAGAACGCACATGAGAGAACGCACATGAGAGAACGCACATGAGAGAACGCACATGAGAGAACGCACATGAGAGAACGCACATGAGAGAACGCACATGAGAGAACGCACATGAGAAAACGCACATGAGAGAACGCACATGAGAAAACGCACATGAGAGAACGCACATGAGAGAACGCACATGAGAGAACGCACATGAGAAAACGCACATGAGAAAACGCACATGAGAGAACGCACATGAGAGAACGCACATGAGAGAACGCACATGAGAGAACGCACATGAGAGAACGCACATGAGAGAACGCACATGAGAGAACGCACATGAGAGAACGCACATGAGAGAACGCACATGAGAAACGCACATGAGAGAACGCACATGAGAAAACGCACATGAGAGAACGCACATGAGAGAACGCACATGAGAGAACGCACATGAGAGAACGCACATGAGAGAACGCACATGAGAGAACGCACATGAGAGAACGCACATGAGAGAACGCACATGAGAGAACGCACATGAGAGAACGCACATGAGAGAACGCACATGAGAGAACGCACATGAGAGAACGCACATGAGAGAACGCACATGAGAGAACGCACATGAGAGAACGCACATGAGAGAACGCACATGAGAGAACGCACATGAGAGAACGCACATGAGAGAACGCACATGAGAGAACGCACATGAGAGAACGCACATGAGAGAACGCACATGAGAGAACGCACATGAGAGAACGCACATGAGAGAACGCACATGAGAGAACGCACATGAGAGAACGCACATGAGAGAACGCACATGAGAGAACGCACATGAGAGAACGCACATGAGAGAACGCACATGAGAGAACGCACATGAGAGAACGCACATGAGAGAACGCACATGAGAGAACGCACATGAGAGAACGCACATGAGAGAACGCACATGAGAGAACGCACATGAGAAAACGCACATGAGAGAACGCACATGAGAGAACGCACATGAGAGAACGCACATGAGAGAACGCACATGAGAGAACGCACATGAGAAAACGCACATGAGAGAACGCACATGAGAGAACGCACATGAGAGAACGCACATGAGAGAACGCACATGAGAGAACGCACATGAGAGAACGCACATGAGAAAACGCACATGAGAGAACGCACATGAGAAAACGCACATGAGAGAACGCACATGAGAGAACGCACATGAGAGAACGCACATGAGAGAACGCACATGAGAGAACGCACATGAGAGAACGCACATGAGAGAACGCACATGAGAAACGCACATGAGAGAACGCACATGAGAGAACGCACATGAGAAAACGCACATGAGAGAACGCACATGAGAAAAC